AAGCACAATTCTCAAGTAGATTGATGGCTCAAAGCAATAAATAGTCCTAAAAAGTTGCCTTTAGTAAGTTGAAAAAAAACATCATTCCATGAATCGATCGCCTCCTATTTGCCTATAAGTAACGTGAGAATTGCTTTGATACTTCATCTCGATAGAAAAGTAAATGGGTGAGAGGTATTACATCATGTAGGCATGAGTTAATATCATTACCAAATTCCCATGTGATGACACGAATGAGGCTAAACGACTTTTTTTCGACAATTGTAGAGTAGGAGATCGAACCAATACCTACGTGACAACATAATTTGTGGGCTTTAAATCACCAAATATCCGAAATGCTTCATGTTTTTCTTTTTATAGCCTTTGAAAACATGTCCTTGATGTTCCGTGATTCTGTCTCCACCTTCGGCTTTTTAGCTTGCTTTCCATTTCTTGTATTTTTTGCGCCACTTCTAGTCTTATCCTGCCATATCACAATTTGCACAATCCATTTGAGAAGAGAAAAGAATATAAATGAAATGCCAACAAAAGAAATGTACATATTTTATCATCAATTCTATATGAGTTCGATATCGTTCTTTAAAGTAATGTTTTGACGTGAAATACTCGAAGTGTTTCGTCTAGAGACGTTTTAAGAAGTAATTCTTACCATTTAGTCATTCTTCCAGATAATTGAAATGTGATTTTGATCCATCAGAAAACATTTTTCAATATTTTAAAATCCATGCACGGCCAACTTCCACCCGCCCAAACACCTCCCTTGGCTTATAAAAACATCTTTGGATTAAATCATAAATCATGAACAGGAATACTTCAAAACTCACTCTAAGGTCCTACATCAGTTGGAAAGGGGAACGAAACATTCTTTACAAGGGTGTGTAAACCTCTCTCTAGAAGACGTGTTTTAAAACTTTGAGGGGAAGCCCGAAAGGAAAAGAGCACAATATTTGCTAGCGATGAGCTTGGATTATTACAAATGGTATCAAAGTTAGTCACTACAAATGGTATTAAAGCCAGACACCAGATGGTGTGCCAGTGAGGACGTTGAGCCACTAAGAGAGGTGGATTGTGAGGTCCCACATCAGTTGGAGAGGAGAATGGAACATTTTTATAAGGGTGTGGAAACCTCTCCTTAGAAGACGCGTTTTAAAACCCTAAGGTAAAGCACGAAAGGGAAAGTCCAAAGAAGACAATATTTGTTAACGGTGAACTTGGGCTGTTGCATTCACATCATATGCGAATAATCACGGAGCAACATAATTGGTGGGTAGCATGTACGAAAAGGGAAACAAAAAATTGACGCAATTACAAGTCATTGGGAATTGTACCTGTGAGATAGAATCAAAATTGTTCTCTATGCTTAAAGGAGGCTTTTCTGCATCCGATGCTTTTCTAGTTGCTTCAGCAAAATTTAACCTGCAAACAAAATCCAACAGTATCTGGCCTCAATACAGCCACTTGTTCCATTTGTGGAACTGTAAAGTGTACAACATCTTAATTGCTATGGTTAAGAGTAGTTGAGGACTAAATACTTGAGATGGTCACATAGAAGCTTCAACCAAGGTTCATCTTTCAAGTATTCCCCTAATATTGAAACTGCATCGCTTACTGTACCAAAAAAGAAAGACCGATGTAAGAGAAGCTATCAATTCATTCAAACACAAATACTTGCAGCAACCCACGAAATTTGCTAACTAAAACAACATTCCCTTAAGTTTTTCTATGTAGAATGCATATGATGACAGTTTTCAACCTCACAAAAGACATTCAGTCCATGATTTTTGTTTCTTTTTCCTCAACAGATAGTTTGTTCTTTTTAACTACATCAACTGCTCACATCATACTACATAATGTTTTAAATAAAATCCGTGAAAGTTTCCCCAGCTCCACTACATATGACTAAGAAAATTAGCACCATGATATGCACACATCCAAAAGAAAATTTCCCATGAATCAAATACAAGTTCATCAATTAGAGGTGGCCTTAATTATCAAGTTCAACATTGAGGTGTAAGGGTATGGAAGTTCTCTTTGATGTCAAAACTACTAATGATGTCCTCTTTATATAGTTTTTTCAGATGTGCCAGATGATATTAAACAATAGGAAACTATAATGATGAAGATAAAAATGAAAGAAACCCAGCTGCAGTGTTAAAACGAATGGCATAAAGGGGTTATAAGTCTCTACAGAAATATACATGTATCTTTTTCTTCCCTTGCAGCATAGTTTTTATCCAGTGTGCATAGAGTTTTTTTCAGCTGACATACCTGCAACAATAAAAGCATAAAATTAAATAATATAATAAATAAGAGAAACCGCAAAATCTCTTCCAGAAGATACTATGGAAAATAAAAGTAGCTGTTTTATGGAAAAAGCAGTACAGCATGAAGAGTTGGCAGCTAGATACTCCCATGTTAGAAACTGATGTAAAACAGGATTCATCAATCACCTATGAACATGTTGATCATGACATGTATTATTGTTAATTGTTCTCATCTTAACGGACCAATTTTGAAAAATTTCTAGTGGAGAGAACGAACACGAACCTTGTGATATAACCATGCCAAAACCTTTGAATCATCAAGCCTAAAAAACTTAGAAGATCCAACCTCTGCAGGAGACACGACAAGGTAGCATAAATGAGAATAGATTCTAGACATGCTTGATTTTTTTTTTTTTTTTTTCTTTCTAATTTTATATACTATATGCCCACCTTTGACCTCACATACTACTTGCATAGACTTCTCTGCAACAGACAGTAAATGCAGATATTCAGGATACCCATTGATGAACATTATGTCATCTAATTGCCTGAATTTCCCAGGATCATCTCCCTTCTGCAAGAAATTTGAAATAAAATTCTCAAAATTTAGCATTAAATCAATCGAAAATATTAATAGTTTCAGCGACTATAAATATATTATAATGAGTTCAAATGAACAATATAATTAACTAGCTCTGTACGCATCACAATTAGACCAACAATTTCAAGATAAACAAATGGACATATAAATTCCAAAGCAACCAGGGAAAACTTGAAATTGTATCTCTAATTTCCAAGCAGATTGCAAACATACATCACTACTATTGTAGAATGCAAAATAATTGTATGCAGCACACAATTATGCTCCATCTCCCAATTATGATATCATACAACTTTTGCAGTAAGAGTACCTTCATTCTAGCTTCCTCGAAAATGGGCAAGAAAATGAATACAGGATCCACTGGAGTAGCGGAATACAGACGACCATCTGTAGACACAAAATAATATATAGTAAGTTATTTATTCAAAATTACTTGTGTTTTATAGTTTATTTTCAATATGTTATACTTGAATTAGCAAAATCTTCAGGAGATTCAAACCATTAGAAGTTATGCAGTAAGTTTAAGAAATAAGGCATCCACAAAAAGATTTTCAGTGTGACGCAGTTGTTTACCTTCAGTAACATAATCTCCCAAAAACCACGATGAATACGACTGCTTAAACCAGTGAATTTCCTCTAGCAACTCGTTTACATATAAGAAACATGTCGTATTTCCTGCCAACAGACATCGAATATACTCAATTAATAGAATGATTTTGTAGAAATATGATGAGCATTAGCTTGCACTTCCTTACAGTTTTCCACAATAAAGTTATGCTGAAAGATGGTCACCGATCAATAGGATAGCTAACCAAATAAAGTATTTAGATAACTATCATTTTCTCTCCAGTTCCTTAAATTACCTGATTTTGGATGGCGAAGTGAAAGCAGGCATCCAGTACCATTTTCTTTTACTCCATGATCTGTAATAGAGCAAGAGAAATCTAACTGAGTCAAAATTTCCAAACTTAAAATGTAATAAGTGATTACCTTAAGAAATGGCGAGATCAAGAACATGAAAAATAAATAAAACGCGGACCTACCAGGGGCAATGAGGATACGAGTTTCCTCGACGCCTTCCCACCAAGCCATGGAACAACCCTGACCGGTCATCGAAGCAGTAACATCAAAAAATAATAATCTGAACTAAATTGTAACATTGAGCTTCATGCTTAAAACCTAGTCTTAGATTGCGCATACAACAGTTTCAGTTCCGAGTATGAGAATCAAAACAATCGAGGCGACAATTTTCATCTCAGGAAAAGAAAACGAAGAACCATTTTTACCTACGAAGAAGGTCGGAAGAGCACCGGCGTCCACAGAGAGATGAAGTAACGACCTCGCCGGAAAACGGAAATGTGAATGTCGACGGCGGGAACCAAACGAAATCGAGAACTGGAAAAACCGCGCGCGCCAAAGAGAGTGGATACTGAGCTCGGTCGCTGACCCATTCTCTAACGAAAAGCGTAATGAAATGGGCCGAATGAGGCCCAAGTTTCAAATGCCTTTTAAATATTTCGTATAATTATTTTAATAATCTAACTTGAAAATAAAAAATAAAATAATCAATAATTATCTAAAATTAAATCACGAAATAAAATTATTAAAAATACTTTATTTTGTATAAATTTTTGATAATTTTTTTTAAACGTTTTTATTTAATTTAAGAGACATTTTTATCATAAATATTATAAACAAAACTTTGAATTAAACGGTAAAAATATAAATAAATTTTTTTAAATCATTAATATAAATAATGAAACTTCACCTAAATTTTTTTTAAAAATACTTTATATTATTTATGATTAAATAAAAATTAAAAAATATTTATGATTAAATAAAAATTAAAAGATGTACGTGATATTATCTATAACTATATGGAACTAAAATTAATTATCGAAAAAGTAAATAATAATAATAATAATAATAACAATTAAAATTCACATAACATATATTTGAAAAATTAGAAAAGAAAATAGGTTATATACAACGTTGCTGCTACAACGTTTTAATAATCATCTGAAATGAGTTCATAATCTACCTCTCTGTTGTTTGTTCAATACAGAGGCACCTTTTTAAATTATCTTTTACATACATAATTATCAGTCATATCGTTTTAGCCTTTCGGACGATGTCTAGCTCAAAAAGGAAAATTCGTCCTCGGGAACGGTCGCTTTGAAGTTAGAAGAATTAGAATAGAAACTCCCGTAAGAAGAATAGTACTCGTCGTCATCCTCGTCCTCGTTCAAATTCAACTCAATTTTTTCAACCGCCTGTTTCAATCCCCATCTCTTCCCAATATCCCGCTCACAACAACACATCCCAATCTGCAAAAGCTTCAACATCTCACCGCAATCCCAACGCCCATCCTCCTCCTTCCCACGTCCTCGGCCAACAAGATCGTTATCGAACACCTCCGCTGTCCATTCCTCTCGGACGACGGTGTCAACCCAAGCAGCAAGGTCGGCGTTGGCGCCATTGCCTTGGTGGAGATAGTTGGCCGGGGACTTGCCAGTGAGAATCTCGAGGATCAAAATTCCGAGGCTCCATACGTCGGTGGATTTCGAGGTGCGGTCGTGATAGGCAGCGAAGTCTGGAGACTTGAAGGCCGACATGTGGTGGTAGGCGTGGGATTCTTGGAGGAGAGGGAAAAGGGCATAATCGGATAGAATTGGAGTGAAGTCTTGGTCGAGAAGGACGTTGGAGGATTTTAAATGGCCGTGTGGGACGCTCGAATTTGGGAGCTCTTTGTGGAGATACGATAGACCTCTAGCTACTCCTTTTATGATTTTTATCCTCCGCCTCCAGTTTAGACCTGTATTGTCTAATTTAGGGAACGATCATGAGTTTATAAGTAATATAATACGAGAACTTAGGCTTAAAGTAGACAATATTAAATAATTTAAATAAATAAATAAAACGTACTACGGAGGTGAGTAGCCAAGCTGCCATTAGGAACAAATTTGGACACCAAAAGCTTATCATCCTTCCCATAATAAAACGCAACAACCGGCAGTAAATTGGGATGAGACAGCCGTCCAAGGCGCCGCATGTGGCTGTAAAACTCGTCTTTTCCGGCGGCGTTCATTTGCCGGAATCTCTTCACCACCACCGCCAACCCGTTTGAAAGCACTGCTTTATAACACGACGCGAAGCTCCCACTGCCGAGAACTATGGCCTGGGCGCGAAGAAGTTCTTGGAGGTCGAACCGCGGCTGGTCGGTTCGTAGAAAGCCCAAAGCCGACCCGGTCGGACCGTTCGTCTTCGAGTTATCCTCCGAGTCTGTCGAGGAATATTGGTGGGTTTTTTCCGGCCTTCTGAAGAGGATTTTCGGAGAGAAGAACAATTTGGGTGGCCGGAGAAAGCAGCAGAGGAGGAGGATAAAGAGGATTAAGGCGGCGGCGGCGGCGGAGAATACTCCGATGAGAATCGACCAGTTCTTTGTGGATGATTTGCATGGTGCTAGTGGCTCTCCACATAACCCGTTGTTGCCTAAACAAAAATATCAAAAATATATTTAATCTAAAGTTTAACAAATATTTTTAAAATAAAAATTTATTATATATTAAAAAAAATGTTGACGCAACATATAAGAATGTCCCTCTCTTTGCTTTCGGTTTAATTTATCGTCCAATAAATTTTCTAATAATTAGAGCAGAAAATGGTAAGAATTAGGGTTGTGGGCTTTTTTTTCACTTTTTGACTATGCCTTCGAGGCTCAGGACGTGACTAAGTTTAGGGCATGACTCTGATACCATGTTAGATGAACACGACTCTCCACAAACCTTCGAGGCTCAGGGCATAACTCTGATACCATGTTAGATGAACACGACTCACCACAAGCCTTCGAGGCTCAAGGCATGACTAAGTTTAGGGCATGACTTTGATACCATGTTAGATGAACACGACTCTCCACAAGCCTTCGAGGCTCAAGGCATAACTCTGATACCATGTTAGATGAACACGACTCTCCACAAGCTTTCGAGGCTTAGGGCATGACTTTGATACCATGTTAGATAGAACACGACTCTCCACAAGCTTTCGAGGCTCAGGGCATGACTAAGTTTAGAGCATGACTCTGATACCATGTTAGATGAACACGACTCTCCACAAGCCTTCGAGGCTTAGGGCATGACTAAGTTTAGGACATGACTCTGATACCGTGTTAGATGAACACGACTCTCCACAAGCTTTTGAGGCTCAGGGCATGACTAAGTTTAGGACATGACTCTAATACCATGTTAAATTAACACGACTCTCCACAAGCCTTCGAGGCTCAAGGCATGACTCTGATACCATGTTAGATGAACACAATTTTCCACAAGCTTTCAAGGCTCAGGGCATGATTAAGTTTATGGCATGACTCTGATACTATGTTAGATTAAGACGAGTCTCCACAAGCCTTCGAGGCTCAGAGCATGACTTTGATACCATGTTAGATGAAGACGACTCTCCACAAACTTTCGAGGCTCAGGGCATGACTCTGATACCATGCTAGATGACACACGACTCTCCACAATCGTATGATATTGTCCACTCTGAGCATAAGCTCACATGGTTTTACTTTAGGTTCTCCAGAAGACCTCGTACCAATGGAGATGAATTATAAACTCATGATTATTCCCTAAATTATGGGACGCAAGACTATTATCCAACAACAAGTGGCATGAATTATTTATTTTCTAATATATTTTTTACTATGATGTATTTGAATTCATAATTAAAAATTATTATTTAAAAATAAATTAAGCCTGTTTTTTTAGTTTAAAAAGTTTTTTTAATGAGAAAAAAAAAACAGAAAATAGTTATGAACATACCAAAAAACGAAGTGAAATTGGAGTTCTTGAACCCAGAAGGAATGGGCCCCACCAAACGATTTCCAGAAAAATTCAAATACTTCCAATCCCTTTCCTCAAAATCTGGAATCCTTCCGGCGAACAAATTACCTTCCAATCCCAAATCAACCAGCCCCTTCAATTTCACCAACGACGCCGGAATCTCGCCGGAAAATCGATTCCGGCCCAAATACAGTTTCTTCAAATTCCCCATTCCTTCAAACTCCTCCCCAGAAATCCAACCGGAAAAGTTGTTATCCGACAGATACAAAGCCCTGAGCGCCCCAATTTGCTTCACGTCGGGCATTGGGCCTTGAAGCCCATTGTTCATCAGACTCAGAGTCCTCAGCGTTGGGAGCTCCGCCAGCGGGGCGACGTCGACGGTGCCGCCGAGGCCCATGTGCTCGAGGCGGAGTCCGTACAGTTGCCCGTTTTTGCATATCAAGCCAGCCCAGTAGCGGCGGGCGTCGGCACAGAGAGGGACGGAAGAGTTCCAGTTGGATAATGCGGTGGCGTTGGTGAGAGAGGATCGGAATCGGAGGAGGGATTCGGCGGCGGCGGAAGTGGGCGGCGGAGGGTTGAAGAGGAGGAAGAAGAAAAGGAAGAGACAAGGTTTGGGCATGGTGGAGACTATTTATTTATTCATTAATTAATTTTATCGATAATAGAGACGTATAAAAAGGGTGTTGGAGACATCGTTAACGACGTCGTTTTGACGCTCTTGGCGTTCTCGGCGCTAACGAGTAACAGACCGGCCACTGGAAATGCTATTGTTTAATTATTATATGACGTGTCATTTTCTCTTGAACCAAAAATAAAAATTTGTTTATCTCTTATCTTAAAATACGTTTTAAAATAATTTAAAAAATTAAATTTCAATATAACTGGACATATCAATTATGATGATAATAAATAAATAATTAAAACGAATATTTTAAGATTATAAATAGATATCCATTTCAAGTCATCGGTACCGATTATTGGTAATTGTTTGCATGTTTGTTATGGTGTAGGGTTTAAAATTTGTTAAATAAATAAATAAATAAATATTTTTAAATCTTGCAAATAAGATACAATATAATAACAATGCAATTTAAATATCAAAGCTCGTGATAAAATGAAAATTAATTATAAATTTTGCACACGAGAAAATACACATGGATCTTTCTTAATATATTTTTTTTATTAAAAATATAGTTTAAAAAATAAGAAAAATATTTAAAAAGCTTGTGAAAAGGGGGAAAATGGCAGACAGCCAAAAGAGGAAATGGACGCCATTAAACACGTGGTCAAATTCCACCGACTTTCATATGACCACAGAAATTTGGTCCCTTCAATACAACCAAAAGCTACCTTATAATTCGTAAAAAAAAAACATAAAAAGAAATATATATATATATATATATTATAGTTTTACGAGAAATATTCAAATTTAATGAAATCCACGCATGTTTTAGGAGGAGATGAGTCCTTACATTGGCTAATTTACAAGTAATTAATATGTCTCCTTTGATATGAAGACTTTTAGGAAAACCAAAAACAAAATCACGAGCGTTAGAGGAGTACTTTATTCGATGGTGTATTTTGTTCGAGGGTTCCATATGCTTTAGGGGAGGTTCTATTGTGTACTTTGTTCGAATGGAGAAGTCCCACGTCGAGTAATTAAGGAGTCCCACATCTCAATGAGTTAATTTGGGAAACCAAAAAACAAAGCTACGATAGCTTATGCTCAAAATGGACAATATCGAGAGTCATGATTCTTAACACCGAAACGTCTTTCTCGTTTTAATTTCTTACTACTCATAGTAAATTATACTAAAACGAGTCCCGAGAAATCTGTAGCCATATGTATCGGACCTTACAATTTAAATACGAGTGCAAAAATCATACCGGAGGCACTTAAAATATTAGGTCAAAAACTACTCACACTTTTTTTAAATTAATTGAATAAAATTCAAAGCTAAAATTTATTTATTTATTTGAGTAATAGATTTATTTATTTTTCTTCAATTAAAATAATTTTTTTAACAATGGGATGGATTTAAATAAATTATTTTACCAACCAGTCACTTGATTTTACATTTTTGTAGATTAATTTTTTAAATTACAAAAATTCATTTTATAATTTGAAAAAATTAAATTTTTTATTAAAAAAATGAAGATTTTGTTATTATTGAAAATTAAGTGTCCAGATTCATTGAATCAAATCCAGAAAAAAATAAAAAATAAAAAACAGAAAATTAAAAATTTAATTGACCATCAGTAATAAATGCCTTAATCGAGATTTTGAACTCCGAATTCCGGCCAGGTTCAATGAATCTTCCACTTAATGGCGATGGTGAAACTCATCCATGTATGGGTTTTTAAAAATAAAATAAATAAATAATTAATTATAAGTTTAGATTTTTTTAATAAATAAAAAATTTTATAAATTGAGTGAAAATTACTGATATAACGATTTTATAATTTGTTTATTTTTTATTTTTAAAGATTAAAATTTTAGCATTTTAAAAAATAATTATTATAAATATATTTTATAATAATAAAAACAAACCTATGGATGTATGATAAAAGGACATGCATATGCATGAATGGGAGTGGCATCCATGGCGCCACAGGTTTCCGTTTCGGGGAGACATTGACTATAAATTCCTCATCTTCTTCAAGCTCCAGCCGCGCAGAATCAGAGCCATAAGAAGAAGAGACAGTGGCAGAGAGAAACGCCCTAATTTTTCTTCTTTTCAGCTAAACGCGAATCCGTTTAGCCTCTTCGTTTCTCTCCTGCCTTCTGCTATATAAGTTTTCGGCTCTCTCTCAAGTGGAGCAGAGGAATTCCTTTGTTTACACTCGTCGGAGTTCTTGTAAGAATCGGCCTCTCATTTTTTTTTCTCCTCATTTCTGCGTTTTTCGGATCGAATGATGTGGTTGTTCTCGCTGGAGAGGTTTTCGAGTGGATTTTGTGTTCTGTCTTGCGATAAATCTTTTGTCATTTTGTTTGTTTCTCTTTTGGTTTCGAATTTGTTCTGGCGAGAAGGATTTCGAGTAGTCGACTAGTTTAAATTTGAATGGATTTGTTGATTTAACTGAGGAATGGCTAAATCATTTAGAACTGATCAAGACGAAGGATTTTGTGTTCTCTCTTGCGATAAATCTATTATCATTTTGTATGTTTCTCTTTTGGTTTTCCAATTTGTTCTGGTGAGAAGGATTTCGAGTAGTCGACGAGATTAAATTTGAATGAATTTGTTGATTTAACTTAGGAATGGCTAAATCATTTAGAACTGATCAAGACGAAGGATTTTGTGTTCTGTCTTGCGATAAATCTATTATCATTTTGTATGTTTCTCTTTTGGTTTTCGAATTTGTTCTGGTGAGAAGGATTTCGAGTAGTCGACGAGATTAAATTTGTATGAATTTATTGATTTAACTGAGGAATGGCTAATCATTTAGAACTGATCAAGACGAAGGACTTCGGGAATTCCTGCCCTAATTGATTTATTTTCGTGAAAATTGTTCTTGCAGGACGTCAATTTAATCATGGTTCTTTGGGTGTTTGGCTATGGATCTCTTGTGTGGAATCCGGGATTCGATTTTGATGAGAAAGTGATAGGTTTCATTAGAGATTATAGGCGTGTATTCGACCTTGGTGAGTTTCTTCCTCTCAACATTCGAATTCGTTAATGGCACCAAAAGTTTTCTCATATCTCATTTCTCATTCTACAGCTTGTATTGATCATAGAGGTACACCTGAAAATCCTGCTAGAACTCTCACGCTGGAACCTACAGAAGGATCAATTTGCGTAAGTTCTAAATCCATATTCATTTTCTATAATGGAAGATTTTTCACAACCTTACCTAATTAGCATTGTTTCTTTCTGTCAGTGGGGTGCTGCATATTGCATCCGTGGAGATCCCGAAAGAGAGAGAGAGGCCATGGAGGTATTTCCCTCAAATTTGTCTTGATTTCACTAAAAGCCAGAATTTATTCCCTTACCCTTAGTCTTTTGCAATGTAGTATCTGGAGAGGAGAGAATGCGAGTATGATCAAAAGACTATTGTAGACTTCTACAAGGTAATGCTAAGGCCATATGGAAGAGCTTGCTTCATTATTGGGCGTGTTCCGTTGATCGTGTTCTTATTTTTTCGATCCGTTTCCTTTGTTGATTCAGGATGAAGACTCCATGGAACCCACATTGACAGGAGTTCTTGTGTAAGCTTAAACATGTCATTTTTGTTCAAATTCTTATATGGGACATGTTGAACAAGAACATGAACATTTCTGTTTTCTTGATCTGATAAATTTCATGTTTATATATGCAGTTTTACATCTACACCTGATAAATTACTGAACAAATACTATCTAGGACCTGCTCCATTGGAGCAAATGGCTAGGTAATGGCAGGTTTACCACTGTGCTTTCATTGGTTTATACCTCCCCTGAAATGGGTTCATTCTAAATCGCTTATTTACTCACTTTTCAGCCAAATTGCAACTGCTTCTGGTCCATGTGGGAACAATAGAGACTATCTATTTCGGTTAGAGAAAGCCTTGTTCGATATCGGTAACGATCCAGTTCTTTGATTATAATTGAGTTCTGAGTTGATTGTATCAGCTACATTTGAGTTTGAAATTGAGTATCTGCATAACTGATCAGGCCACGAAGAAGATACGGTGATCGAGCTTGCGAACGAAGTGAGGAATGTCCTTGGGAAGGTTGGAAAGAAGAAGCCGGTTGGGCCGACGACGCACCTGCCTTTCATGTCCTTCATCTCAGGAGTTCAGGTGCATCCTCTGGCAGAAGCAGCTGTGGCCATAGATTCTTAGAAAAGACTGAGAGATTGGTTGAGTAAGCTAACTGAAGATCATTTGGATTGATAGACTGCCACTTCTTTGATTCATTTATGATTTCCCTCACTGTTTCTGATATGACCCAATAGAGTTGTTCTGAGCTTAGCTTTAGACCATTTTTAGAGATTTAAGATTGAAGAATGGTAGAGAATGAGTTACTTCGCTAACAGTGAGTTTACACCGTATGTTATGAATCTTACTTTATCACTTGAATACGAAATCAAATAACTAGTTGGTTTGGAGTTTTTCATTTTGTTGATATTTGTGGGGTAATATGTTTCATATCTATGGCTTAATATGATGACGGCTTCCAAAATCTTTGAATCTTTGACATTCATCTAGTTAGTCAAATGTGTCCGCTTTGACATTCGTTCGGTCAGTCAATTGTGTCGGATTTTTAGATCTAAATTATCTTAGAACTAAAAAAAAGATATGGAATCAATCAAAGAATTTTTTTTTGACATAGATTACTTCGATGATCAAGATAATAATAAGGAAAATTCGTGATTTGAATTACTTCATAATATAATAATAATAAGGAAAATTCGTGATTTGAATTACTTCATAATATAGCTTGATCAAGAATATTTAAATGACACTAAAAAACGTTAGGTTAATCTCCATATGAGTCAAATAATCTCTCCATACTAAACAAGTAATCTCCATACTAAACAAGAACCAATGAGTCTCCATACTAAACAAGAACGTTAAGAATATAGTAATCTCCATACCAAACAATAAATAATCTCCATACTAAACAATAATCTTAAGTCTGAGTCAAATATAGTAATGATTCCCAGCATCTCTTTTTAGTCTGAGTCAAATATAGTAATGATTCCAAACACCTCTTACCTCTATTTAGTTTGAGTCAAATATAGTAATGATTCCAAGCAACTCTTTTTACACTATTTAAGAAACTCAAACACAAGAGTCAATCATATGGATAAAAATACAGGAGTTCCAATTCTAACAGGAAAGGGAGGGAAACGGATACTCAATTTAGAGTGAGTAAACAGAATTCCATACTCGATCTCATAGATACATATATAATTTTGTGGAAAGCAGTATTCGACTATGTACGACTTGGAGGAGATCTTTCATATCTTCCGAGATCCAAAAGAAAACTGGTTCTTGAACCCTTTTCAATGAACGGTGGCTTAAGAAGCATACAACTTTGACTGTAATATCCAAAATCTTCACACTCAACTTTCACTATAATATCCAAAATCTTCACACTAAAGCAGTTAATGACTAAATTTTATAATAAATTATGGTTAATTGAAAGATTGTAACTTTTGTGATTTAGGGTTTAATTTTGTGGTTTATTGGAAAATCAATATTTTCACAATTAATTTTAGCGACTATCCATCATGGGCCGTCATAAAGCCCAAATCGATATACCCACAAAGGCTTTGGACTTTAACTTGGAGCCCAATTTTGTAGCTTGGGCCCAAAACACAACGAGCAAAAAGAAAAAAAAAAGAAAAAGAAAAAGAAAAAGAAAAAGAAAAACTACTTGATCGAGAAGTAAGGTCGAAGAACAAAAGCCCCCAACACCAAAATCGAGCTCTTTCATTCTCCGGCAATACGTCCTCTTTCACGACCGTATTTGAATTTCGCTTTGGTTTCTTTCGAGTAGGTTCTCACCGCCATGGATCTCAACATGGATCTTAATGCTCCTCACTCCATGGGTACCACCATCATCGGCGTCACATACGACGGCGGCGTTGTCCTCGGCGCCGATTCTCGTACCAGCACTGGTAAATTTATCGTAGTTTCTTAAAGAGATGTCCGAAATGATTTCAAGTGGAGGAAAAGTATTAATAATTTGTCGCTTTGTCGACCTTGGAAGAAAATCACTTTGTATTCATCACATTCGGAATCTAGCTTAGCTTTGTTGTTTCGAGTTCTTATGAGTAGGTAAGCATTGAAAGAGTTCATTTCTCGTGTTGTTCACCCCCTCTCCCCTGACTGGGCATGTAGCGAGAGTAATTGAGTGGATTTCGTTGTTGGTTGGATTTTCTTCATGTGAATCTTCTGCATTTTTTGGTCTTTTCAAGCATAGCTGCTTAATATGACGAGCTTTAGGGAATACCAGTTGTCCGTTACAGTGACGGGTTCTGAAAAATTATGAAATGTAGTGGAGGGGATGCACGAAGAGTTTTTAAACTCATCTCCCAAGCAATCATCAATAACATGTTTACATATTAAATGGAAAAGTTAATCTCAGTTCGTTTGTTTGTATCCACTTTTTCGCTATGTGCGTGCTTTCTTGTGCTGCATTGATGTTAATATTTTGTTTATTGTTCTTGTGATAGGTGTTTATGTGGCTAATCGTGCATCTGACAAAATTACAAAGCTTACTGACAACGTCTATGTTTGTCGGTCTGGCTCGGTATTTCCATTTCTCTTCTCAAATTTTTCCTTCAACTTCTTGTTCTAGAATTAAGATGTCAGAAAATCTCTCAGTTCATGGGTGTTTGCTATTGTTTCATAAATGTTTTATTTTGTGCCTCTTGCAGGCTGCAGATTCTCAAATAGTCTCTGATTACGTGCGTCATTTCCTTCATCAGCATACGTGAGTGCTTTAATTATTGGCGGTGTTATGTTGCAAATTTGAATTTGTAGGTTAATTGTAACTCGATCACTTTGAGCAATTTTCTTTTATTGTTTGTGATGAATTTTGGAAGATTGGATCTACTAGCAAGTGCATTTCTTTTTGTCTGTTTTCTCAGTGAGTTTAAAAACTGTAGGAAAGAGTTGAAAATTCTTTACTTTATTCCGGTGTATAGAAATAATTCTACACCTAAATCAATTACTAAGGTGTTGGAGGAAGAAGCACGATGATTTATTTTTCTGTCACTTGATACGATAACAAGCCGTTATGTTAACTAGTTTGATGAGGTTAAGGCCTAGCGTATAGGTGATGCTCTCCTGGGGATTATTGTTATAACACTAGATATGCTTGATCTGGCGGGTATTTGTACTTCGGATTCATTAAAGATGGTGTTTATTTAGAACTTCTCTAGGCAACTGTACTTGTTTATACATCCCCTACGAACTGTCTGAAGATATGCTGTTATTGGTAATGGTAATACTGTTATCATTTTTAATTCTAAATTGCTCTTACTACCTCCGTTTCATTATTGTCTCTTTGCTGATATGTCAACCTAAAGACGGTTGTTTCTCATTCTGATTGCTGGTTTTAGTTTTCATTATTAACAAGTTATTTGATATAAATGAGGAAGCCGCTTGAATTTATGTGCGAGTTTTTTCCTGTCGAGTTCTTTCTTATTATGTATTATTTTTTATGCACAGGATACAGCTTGGCCAGCCTGCGACTGTTAAAGTGGCTGCAAACCTCGTTAGGCTATTAGCATATAACAACAAGGTAGGAGCTCATATTAGTTTGTTCAGAAGTATTCTCATAAAATATGTATGGATTGCAATTTTGGATAAGAAACGATAACAATTCATTGAAACATTACAAATTCCCCAACCCAGACAAGGAGATTGAAAAAAGCTCTCCAATTGGCCGAAATTATGGAAATAGACTAATCACACAAGTGCCTAGCTGGAGAACAGAAACCTCTTTTCTATAGATTTATTTAGCAACCAGAGCTCACAGAAAATAACCATAATCATATTGATCCACAGAACCATTCATTTTTCTCTGAAAGGGGGACTGCTCTAGGCCTGTTGTGTACATATTTTAGCCTTAATGATTGATTAGTTTTACCCTCTTTTTTGGAATAAAAGATAATTGTATTAAAATTTAAGTCCAAATATGAGTTCAAAAGGGGAGGAGGAGGAAACGTCCCAAGTAGCTAAAGTAGATAAAAGGATAACTCTGCAATTGAGTAGAACATCATCACAGTTCCTTTCCTTTCTGTTCTTGTGTAATGAACATTTCAGAGTTGCATGTTAAAATAAAACGAGAAAGAGAGGAAAGGAAATGAATTAGGTCAAATATAAATAATGTATGGACATTTTAATACTGGAATTCACTTAGAATGAAGAACCTATGACTTGTGAGACTGCACAAAGTTGAATTCAGCCTTTATGTTTTCTTGAAAATGATTTGGAGCTTTTCATAAAAATACGTTGTATTGTGTTTAGGATCATTACGGGTTGTTTATGAATTCAGCATAAGGAAAGAATGAGAGATTTTCAGGGTTCTACTAAGCATCCATTTCTGTTTTTATTTTCTTTTATTTTCTAATTTTTATCTTAGTGTTTATCCATTCAAACAATCCAAAACAAAAACCATTGGATAGTTGTTTGATGGACTTTGATACATTCCTCTTTTAAAATTGTGGAAAAGATACTCACCCTTTACTTTAATGTGGTTAGGTGGGGTATCTGGGGACAGTGGGAGGAGGGTCTCTCTTCCTCTCTCTCTAAACCAGTTTTGTATGCGAGTGAAGTCACACACCACTTAACTCCAATAAAATGTTCAAAAGAGTGCTCTTTTCTTGCTATGTTCAAGTGAAGCTATATTCTTGTTTTTCTTATCCAAACTAAATACATGCTTTAATATCAATGCCGTTTCATTGAATGGGCAGGATATGTTACAAACTGGCCTTATTGTTGGTGGATGGGACAAGTATAACGGTGGTCGAATCTATGGTATTCCTCTTGGTGGAACAATAATAGAGCAGCCATTTGCTATTGGAGGTACCCTATTGGTTATAAAAGAATAAAAGTTATGATGTATGGTGAATTCTTTTCTGGCATCCTCATGTTTTCTAGCTTTATGATGTGGTCTTCTGCTTTATCATCCTTGAATGAATGAGTTGTGATTAGATTTTTATGCCCCTACATCTGGTTTTTGATCTACTGAACCCTTAGAGATGGGAATCTCAAGCATGTCTTCTATGTCGAGAAAATATCATCCTCTCCCCCCTTCTCTTCTTTTGGTAATTAGATTTCCGACATTTGCTGTTACAAACAATCCTTTGTTCTCTACTTGCAATTATGATCATTGCCAGGTTTCTCTTATTATTTTACAGGATCTGGTTCCAGTTACTTGTATGGTTTTTTTGATCAAGCGTGGAGAGAAGGAATGACAAGGGAAGAAGCTGAGGTATTTCTACTACTCTTATTTGCGAATTAAGTGTTCTGCATTATTATATTCTTTGTGCTTGCTGACTCAAATGCATACGGTTTTTTGGATGCGTTCTTTTAGGCTCCGACCACTTCCAAATATTGGTATTTCTTTGTTCTTCATTTCATGTTCATCTTAGTATAATAGCCCAACGTTCACGGCTAGCAGATATTGTCCTCTTTAGGCTTTCTCTTTCTGGCTTCCCCTCAAGGATTTTAAAACGCTTCTACTAGGAGAGGTTTCCACATCCTTATAAAGAATGCTTAGTTCTCCTCCCTGATCGAGGTGGATTACGACTGTTTATCTGTTCTGCATTTCATGCTCACCTGTAAGATGCGCATCGTAGTTACTTAAAGTGAATTTGCGACGACCTGTAAGAAAAGTTCCTTTTAAGTGAAATATTTCTTCTCTAAGCACCTTCCGAGAAAGCACGTATTAAGGTGGAGTTTGCTAAGTGCAACCTCTGAGACATGAACTTAGTCGACGGGTTTTTTTTCTCTCTCTGTGATTATATGCTATCATTTGCAGCAATTGGTGGTTAAGGCCGTTTCTCTTGCCATTGCTCGAGATGGTGCTAGTGGTGGTGTTGTCCGTACTGTTACTGTAAGAGAATGTTCTTTTATAACATAATCTATTACTTAAAATCATGTTCAATCCTTAGTTCTCATAGCTAAAAACTGTTGCGTGAACTCGGGCATTTTTGCAGATAAATTCCGAGGGAGTTACAAGAAAATTCTATCCCGGGGATCAGCTACCGCTGTGGCACGAGGAATTAGAACCGAAAAATTCATTACTGGATGTTCTGAATGCCTCTAGCCCCGAACCGATGAACGTATAAAGCTAATGCTGGGATCTCTGCCAAAAGTTCTGCTGGTAACTCTTATCTGGTTAGGCTATTCTACTTTTCTGGAAAAAAAAGAAGAAAAAACATGCGCCCTCTTTGTAAACCTAATCATGTTTTACTTTGCATGAATTTTTTAGTGTACAATGTTTGAGTTTACTCCTGCTGCCAAACACATTTTCTTAGAATATACAAAAAAAAACAAAACAAACCCGAACCAAACCATTAACCGTGGGGGGTTGTGATTCTCTCGTTGTCAAATTCGTTTAGTGTCTTCTATAAACGGATGTAACTCATTGTAGACTTTCGTTTTCTCGATGATCATATCCAGACTATTGATGAGTTGGTTTCCTCATAAATTGGAAGAAGCTTTTAATCCATAATTGTTTTTAGATCATTTGAAAGAGCAAATGCTTCTACATGCTCGGGTGTGCTAAAATGAACATCAAAGTCGTTCATGGCGATCACGAACAATGGCACCAAACCCTACCTCCTTAGAATTCTATTAAGCATCAGAATGTAATTTTGTACGTATTAAGAGATGGTGGCTTCCATTGTAATTTAATACAAAAGTGTTCAAAGTGCTTTAGAAGCTCAATAGTCATTTATTGCAACTCCATTTGTAGACATGATACTATTCTCATATATAATATCGACGCTTTCGATTCGAAAATCTGGTTCATCCTTCTAATTTCTCATGGCCTTCTATGACATGGACCAAGGAATGGAAACAGTCACGTTTGGACGACTTTGTAGGGATGACGACTAAATTTGTGAAAGAGTTGCAATTGCCAGAACCAAAGTCAGGAGTGGCAACTTATGAACTGTGATACCTCTCTCATGCTGCCTTAATATCAATTCGTAGTATTTTTGGATTATGAAGGATGAATACTTCTCACATAATTACCGATCATCTTACTATCTCGCGATCTGACATAGCTTTAACAATTTAGATCTTAAACAAATATTTGATTATAAAAACTATAAAATATTGGAGGTTGAGTTTAAGTGTGTTTACTAGGAAGAGTTTTTCACGAGTCATTTAATAATACTTTTGTTTAGTAAAAGTAAGAGGTTAAAATATTAAATGTATATTTATTTATTTTTAAATATTTAATTAAAATTTATAATTCGATTTCAATGTATTTTAAGTAAAAAAAAAATATATTTTCTAAAATTAATAATAAATTCAAGTAATTTAAACATTGAGAAAAATTCATCAGATCAAAATGGGAGTCTTTGAGTTATTGAATTTTTTTTTGAACACCATACATAAAACTCTATAAATTGAAAAAAAAAATGTTTAAATGAAGGGTAGATTGGTAAAAAGGAAAACGATTAAAAAAGGTAAAAAAAATTGAGAATAAAAAGTGTGTTACTTCATTGCAAAGATTTCCGATTATTTATTTATTTATTATTATTTTTTTGAAGTAAAAAAAATGATTTTTCTTTTTTCCTTTTTCCTTTTTCAATTTAAACGAGATAAAACAGGGAAGATAGAGAGGGCTAAAGTCGTAATTTCAGGTAAAATCGATACTCTATTTAAGGCAATCATGTATGTTCTTAGAAGCAACGAAAGTTAGGGTTCCATCCCAGCATTTTACAGCGGCAGCGATGTTTGATAGATTTAGGGTTAATTTATCGTCTTTCTCCCCGGTCTCTTGATCGTAGAGATTGTGAATTTCATGGGACTGAAGTTTGGCTCTTTGGTCAATTTCGTATGCCGTAGAGATGAATGCAGTTCCCTAAATCATCTCTTTAACCTCTTCACCCATTTTCGCTAAGGTTTTTTCTCCTTGTGAATATCTTTGTTGAGGCTGATACATTATTTATCATTCTTCAATTCACATCTCTATCTGATTTGTCTCTGTAATTCTAAATTTTGAATCGATGTTAGAAGTACGATTTTGTTCTAAATGATTGGAGTTTTGGTTCCGAGTAGTAATTCAGGCAGCCTCTCTGCAATTTCCATGGCAAAGGAGGCGTTAAACTGCTCGTAAATCGAATCGCTTATGCTCTTCAGACTTGCTGAGGTTTCCTCTGAAGCTCGTCTAGTAAGTTTAAGTACATTTGTTTTCTGGACATACGTTTAACGGATTCTGAGTCGCTGTTCTTGCTTGATTTCACATTATGCTTTTTCTTCATAACCTATGATCATTTAGCTGAGTAGTGGTTGGTAAATTAGACTATATCTACTTGACGGCAGATTATTCAATGACTTTTTAGAGTTTCCGCAACTAGTGGTTGGTGGATTAATCCGGAATTTTGTTGGAGGAAATAGAGAGTTAGTCGATTTACATTTAAAAACACTTATTCATAGGTGGATTACTCTTGATTGTAGGACTTTCTAGACCTAGACTGGCTTGGATTTTGATTCTCAGATTATTCTTAAGCTTCTTCAGATTATAGACCAATAACTTCGGTTGAATTCAAAATGATCCATAGCGGTACATGTAATTCCTACGCATATTGCCACAATTCATCCGTGTATTTCAAACAATAGATGCATACTTTGTAAAGTTATATCAGGTAATCAAATTGTTGACTTGGATTGTTTCGAACAAAAACTGAATTGGAATGTGAGCCAAATTTGTGTGAAATCACATTTTTTTGTTGATGCAAGCATACATATACTGATGATGCCAGCATGGAAAATAATTTGAAGCCGAAGATGAAGAACGACCATATCTCAGCCTATGTGATGATTTTTGATGGAGGAGTTGAGTCGCTTGATTTGTATGATTGATGGCCTAGGGGTTGTTCTTCAAATATGGCATGAAATTGGTTGTTCGTGAGATTTTAATAGGCCTTTGATCGTGACAACTTTCAAAAGAATTGAAGGTTTTGGTTTTTTTTATTATGCTCTTTGGATTCTATACCTCGTTAATGAGGATTCTGTATAAAAAGAGGTTATCTAGAACTTGAAATCTTAATTTATGTGTCTTGATGAAAATATGAATAATGAAAAATTATAAAACAAATGATATGTTTAATTTAAGCACACAAACAAAAGCCTATTATACTAACTCTATAAAGAGATTTGGCTAAAACATCTGTCATTTTGAAGATGTAATGTCAACATCTCTTGAATTTGACTAAAAAATTTGTCATTTATTGTGCATTATTGTGCATTGATTAGTCTTTGAAGATAATGTATTATTTAGATTTTAGTCGTGAATATGTAATGTAAAAACATCTTGAATGACTGAAAATAATTTAATCTAAAAAAAGACCTCTTGAATTTGACTAAAAATGATTTAATCGAAAAAAAAATGAAAATTTTGAGACGCACCCACCGGAATATTTAGAGGATCTCTCATGTTAACCACTCACATTCCTCTCATTAGACCATCTGAAGCACTCATAGCTACGGTCCTAACTTGATTATTTCCTAATAATTGTTGTGTACTTCGCAAGTCACATTAATTTCTTGAATCTGACCTTTAACTATCAAAGCGTTGTAAATATTAGACATTTTGCGTTGTAAATATTAGACATTTTGCCCCGGGGAAAAGCTACATCTAGTACCAGACCAATGATTTGAGCTAAAGACCTCTTGAATTTGGCTAAAAGATCTATCATCTATAGAACCTGAATTTGGCTAAAAAATCTGTTATTTATAGAACTTCTTGAATTTGCTTAAAGATAAAGATCTGTCTTCATAGAACTTGAATTTGGCTAAAACAATATGTTATTTGTAGAACCTCTTGAATTTTCTACTCCCACCGTTATTTATAGGATCTCTTGAATTTTTTTTGAATTTTTTTTGTCTTACTCCTCTGTCATTTCATTTATAGGACTGTCTTACTCCTCAGTCATTTATAGGACATCTGTCATTTATAGGACCTCTTGAATTTTTTTTTGTCTTACTCCTCTGTCATTTCATTTATAGGATTGTCTTACTCCTCAGTCATTTATAGGACCTCTTGAATTTTTTTTTGTTCCTCTGTCATTTCATTTATAGGACTGTCTTACTCCTCAATCATTTATAGGACATCTGTCATTTATAGGACCTCTTGAATTTTTTTTGTCTTACTCATTTATAGGACATCTATCTTACTCCTGATTTTTTTTTGTCTTACTCCTCTGTCATTTACAAGACATCTGTCTTACTCCTCTGTTATTTATAGGACCTCTTGAATTTTCATTGTCTTACTCCCTGTCATCGTTCCTTCTAGTACATGCAATAGATTAGTGAATGAATTCATATCACTTTCTAGTACATGCAATAGATTAGTGAATGAATTCATATCACTTTCTAGTACATGCAATAGATTAGTGAATAAATTCATATCACTTTCGTTGGCACTCATCTACAATCAATAAAGAAATCAATAAAGAAATACTATGAAGTTACACAAAATAAGAAAAAACATTCAATAGGCTTAAAATTATCATTTTTTAAAAGCTTAAAGTTAGATGGTTTAGACTCGAGAAAAGAAAAAAAAAAACAATAAATAAAGAATAATAATAATAAAAAAATAATAATAATGCACAAAAGTACTAGGGAGGATATATAACTAACAAAGAATCGCACGCTATATCAGGCGCGCATGGGTAACGGATAACCCAATCGCATGGACGGATTTTGTTAAAAATAAATAAATAAATAAATAAAGCAATCCTATCAAATTTAAGAGATTTTGCAATGCAATAAACAAATAATGGAAATCTTCAAAAATATTTCACTAAAATAATTTAATTCAAGTTAAACTCGTGGACAAGATTCTGGGGTACTTCAAAAGCTCCGCCCAGATTCAAGAATCTTGGTGTAATCTCATTGTCGCTGGGAAAGATGAGTTCCACAGCCCCGTCGCCGGTCGTGGTTACCACTTCTCCTTCCGATCAATCATCTCGCGTTTTCGTCTATGGAAGCCTCTTAGCCGATGACATCGTCCGTGTTCTTTTCGGCCGCGTTCCTCAATCGTTCCCTGCTGTTCTCGATGGCTTGTCAGTCTGTTCTTACGAACTCTCGTTTTCCTTTTTTTTTAAATCTATATTCGCGTATTTTCTCCGTCTAAAGTGGTATTGAAAACGAACTGAACGAATTTGTGTACCTTTTTGGTTTCGTAACTTCGTAGGACAATGAACCGAGATGTTTATTGCGCAATCGATATCTAAACATGTGTGGGGAATGAGTCTGATCTTTTACTTTTGATTATTCATCTACTGATCATTTACGGATTCATATGTGCGATTTTGTTGTGAAAATTTGGTTGTTCTGAATTTGTAGTCACAGATTTAGCATTAGAGAACGAGTTTATCCAGCTATTTTGCCCGTAGAGAAGAAGAAAGTTACCGGAAGGGTAAGAAAAACCTACATTCTTCTTTTTTAAGCTCTGGATTTGATTTTGTTTGTTGTTTTCTTCTCACTTGTTGGATTCTTCTCACTTTTGGAGAGATACCTGATATCATTTGTTGGATTCTTTTTGAGGCTCTGGATTTGATTTTGTTTGTTGTTTTCTTCTCATTTGTTGGATTCTTCACACTCTTGGAGAGATACCTGATATCTTCTTATTGAATTCTCTGTCGATTATCTCCCTCTCCTGTTTTGGCGTAACAATTTAAATTGGCGAGTGCCGCAGTTTCTATATGTAGATCATCATCAATAGTTCCAACTGCAACTCTTCCATTAAAATGCTCTAGATTTGAGGTCATTGGTAGAGTTTATTGAACAAATCATGTTGCAAACGATCTCATTTTCCATTATGAGTAAGCATTCTTATGCTTGTAGGATGTCAAAGACATTTTTGCTTTCCTGTGTAATCATAGACATGGCATATGATGAACTTTTAACCTGGCCTTTGTATGATGGTAACCATAGACATGGCATATGATGAACTTTTAACCTCATTCACAAGCAATGGCTCTTCTCACTGGCAGGTTCTCTTGGGCGTCACGAGTCCAGAACTGGATATTTTGGATATATTTGAAGATGTTGAATATGAAAGAAGGGCTGTTGAGGTTTCCTTGGTGGTAAGTACTGAAAACCATCTAGTTCCTTTTAACTCTTAAACCTCGTTTGATAACAATTTCGTGTTTAGTTTTCGGTTTTTGAAATTTATGCTTGTTTACTCCCAATTTTCTTTCAATGGCTTTCACATTTCTTATAAGCACATTTGAATTCTTAGCCAAATTATAATACAAAAACAAGGTTTCAATAACTATATATATGTTTACAAAATTTTGTATGGTTTTTGAAAACGTGGGTAGGAAGTGGATAACAAAACAAAGAAGCTTTTAGGTGGAAGCAGTGTTTATGAGCTTAAATTTCAAAAATCAAAAAGAAAAAAGAAAATGATGATCAAATGGGACCTCGACGGCTTGTCTTATCCATTTTATGTTGTACAAAGAACAAAAGAAACTTCGTGTAACAGCCAAGTCCGCTGTTAGTAGATATTGTCCTTTTTGGGCTTTCACTTTCGGACTTCCTCTCAAGGTTTTTAAAACGTATCTACTAGAGAGATGTTTTCACACTCTTATAAAAAATGTTTCGTTCTTCTCTCCAACTAATGTGAGATCTCACACTTTACTTCAACTACATATAGTGATTTAGAATGTAAGGATGATAGGATATGCATTGCCTGGTGCTTTGAACTCCTTTCTTGTGATCTGATAATAAAGTTTTTCACTTTTGAAATTTATCTGAGGGTTGTTTGTGGATGAGTTTTTGTTTAATGTTTTGTAAACGTTTTTCAGTAAGCCTACTAATCTTTGGCACATATTGGTGTGGACAACGCCTGCTTCTTGTTCTTCTCAGGATGGTTCCGAGAAGTTAACAGCTCTTACTTATGTTTGGAGCAACGGAAGGGATCCAAATCTCTATGGAGAGTGGAATTTTGAGGTAATGCATCTTCTTTGGTCATTTGGTCCTCATCAAGTTGGGTTATAAATTTTGGTTCTAATATTTTAAAATCCTCAATTTTACCCTTGGTGCATTGATAATTTGCTCCCCTAAATGTTTGTTAGCAAAGAGCTTCTCATTGAATTAATACGTAACGGTCTAAGCCTACTGTAAGTAGATATTGTCTATTTTGAGTTTTCCCTGTTTTTAAAACGCCTCTGCTAGAGAGAGGTTTCTACAACCCTTATAAATAATGTTTCGTTCTCCTCTCCATCCAGCGTGGGATCTCTCATAATATTTGATAACTTATTTGGACACGTAGACATTCGAGTTCTAGTAGGTGTAGACATTCGAGTTCTAATAGGCGTAGACATTTGAGTTCTAGTTGGATATACCTGTTTGAAAAGGTGACTTTTATGGATAGTTGGGTCAAATTTGGAGGATAAATTAGTTGGATTCTATATCAAATAGCCTTTGAGTTATGGAACACCTGTTTGAAAAAGTGTGCTAGGTTATGGAACAGGGCCATCTGCCTTTTGTGTTCCTCCCCCTTTCTCTCCTCTTCATTGTACTTGTGCTTGGACATGAGTTCTCAGTATTTTAAGCTGAAGAACATCTTTCCCCCAGTTGGACGCGTTTTTTGTTATGAATTTCTTTTGTGGCAGACGTGCTTTCGTTTGGATCAATTACAAATACTATTGTTATATATAATATCGATGCTTTCAGTTTGAAACTCTGATTCGCCCTTCTAACTTTTCATTACCTTCTACGACATGAAACAAGGAATGGAAACAGTCGCGTTTGGACGACTTTGTAGGGATGACAACTAGATTTGTGAAGGAGTTGCAATTGCCTGATCCAAAGTCAAGAGTGGCAACTTATGAATCATTCTACACGAGAGAGGGAGGTGATACACCTCTCATGCTGCCTTGATATCAGTTGTTAATATTTATGGATTATGAAGGATGAATACTTTTTAGATTAGTACTGCTCATCTTACTATCTCGTTATCTCGTGATCAAGAGAGGTAATTTATTATCTCGTGATCAAGAGGTAATTTATTATCTCGTGATCAAGAGAGGTAATTTATTATCTCGTGATCAAGAGAGGTAGTTCACACAACCTTGGCAAAAACTGATTTCATATTTTGTTTTAGTTCTTTGTACCGTGTAACAACTCGAGCCCACTGCTAATAGTTATCCTTTTTGGGTGTGCTCCCTACTCGATTTCCTTTCGGGAGAAATTTCCACCCCCTCTCTAATGAATATGAGATTTCAGGAGTCATTTGTTAATTTTTAAACATTTAATTAAGTTTTACAATTTAATTTCAATACATATTTTAAAAAATTACATTTAAATATGAAATTAAATAAATATATTTATATCTTACGTAAATTTTTTTTAAAAAAATTAATAATAAATTCGTGTAGTTTAAATGTGAGGAAAAAATTCATTGAAACAACTCATAAAATTTATTTATTTAAATCTAACATAATCCAAATAACTTGATACAATTATTTTATTATAATTTTTTTGAACTAAAAAAAACTTTCTTTTTCCTTTTTCAATTTAAACGAGATAAGATCGGGAAGATAGAGGGCTAAAGTCGTAATTTCAGTTAATATCGATACCCTATTTAAGGCAATCATGTATGGTCTTAGAAGCAACGAAAATTAGGGTTCAATCCCAGCATTTTACAGCTGCAACGATGTTTGAAAGATTTAGGGTTAATTTATCGTCTTTCTTCCGGTCTCTTGATCGTAGAGATTTTCAATTTCATGGGACTGAAGTTTGGCTCTTTGGTCAATTTCGTATGCCATAGAGATGAATGCAGTTCCCTAAATCATCTCTTCAACCTCTTCACCCATTTTCGCCAAGGTTTTTTCTCCTTGTCGAAATCTTTGTTGAGGCTGATACATTATTTATCGTTCTTTAATTAACATCTCTTCCTGTATTGTCTCTGTTATTCTAAGTTTTGAATCGATGTTATAAAGACGATTTTGTTCTAAATGATTGGAGTTTTGGTTCCGAGTAGTAATTCAGGCAGCCCCTATGCAATTTTCATGGCAAAGGAGGCGTTAAACTGCTCGTAGATCGAATCGCTTATGCTCTTCAGACTTGCTGAGGTTTCCTCTGAAGCTCGTCTAGTAAGCCTAAGTACATTTGTTTTCTGGACATACGTTTTACGGATTTCGAGTCGCTGTTCTTGCTTGATTTCACTTTATGTTTTTTTTTTTTTTTTAAAGATCCTATGATCATTTAGCTGAGTACTGGTTGTTAAATTAGAATATATCTTGCAGACGCAGATTATTCAATGACCTTCTAGTGTTGGAGGAACCAGTGGATGGTGGATTAATCCGGAATTTTGTTAGAGGAGCGACAGAGGTAGTCGAGTTACATTCAAAAACACTTCTAAAAAATTGATTTGGTGCATTAGTCTTCATGAAAGTTTGATTGTAGGACTTTCTAGACCTAGACCGACCTGGATTTTGGTTCTCAAAATTATTCTAAAACTTCTTTAGATTATAGACCAATAACGGTGGTTGAATTCAAAATGAACCATGTCAGTACATGTAATTCATGTGCACATTGCCACAAATGATCTCATAATATTTCAAATAGATTCATACTTTGTAAAGTTGAATCAACTGGTTGATCTAAATTTGGGTAATCAAATTGTTGAATTGGATGGTTATGAACAAAAACTGAATTGGTATGTGAGCCAAATTTTTGTAAATCACATTTTTTGTTTATGCAAGTACACATAGTGATGATGCCAGCATGGAAAATAATTTGAAGCTGAAGATGGAGAACGACCATATCTCAGCCTTTGTGTGGTGGTTTTTTTTGGGGCTTTTCTTTCCAGAAACAGGTTATTGTAGTTATGAGATTAAGATTTTAAGGTCATTTCTTCCGTTTGCTCTACCTTTCTAATTTTTGTAGCCTTTGCATAGTTGCGATGATGTTAACAACTACCAATGGTGTGTCTTGTTTGTGAAGGCTTTTCAATTTCGAAAACAAGAACCTGACGAGACTGGTATGAGCTCGCCCTTCTAAGGCCTTTAATTTACTCTGTGGGGAGACCTAGAATTTCGACATGGTCGCTTGTGCTTTGAAGGCCTATGATTTACTCTGTGGGAGAAGAAAATTCTGAGGGTTGAATATTTCAATGAATGAACTAAGATCAACAAAATTGCGTTCCTTTTGATTCCCTTGTAATTTATTTTTTTGTTAATTATAAGGTTCTAATTTAATTTATTTTTTTGTTTATTATAAAGATCTAATTTATTTAAATATCACCTGTCTATAAAAATGGAATGAATTAAGTTTTTATAGTATTATAAAAAGTAGGGGCGTATAGCTTATCAACTACATTCGGATTTATGACACCATCAAGATTCCAAAACCTAAACCTTGTTTTTGTTTTAATCAAGAAAAGTTCAATGATCGGAACCGTTGGGAAATATGGAAATATTCAAGTGCCTAAAAGAGCCAGCTATATTTTTTATGTTGGAATCGAGTCGTATAGGACCTTTTTATGGCGGATATTGGTGTACGGACTCCTTTCTATATTTTCAGAGAAAGCGAATTAGTATATGATCTATTCGAAGTCGCTACCGGTATGAGAATGATGCATAGTATATGATCTATTCGAAACCCAGTATGATAATGATACATAATTATTTTGGTTTCGATCTACTCCATAGATAAATGTTTGGATTTCTACTCATTATAGTCATCTAGAAGGATAAATAAATGTTTGGATTTTTAATTTTTAATTTTTTTTATAGATAATTATAGTCAAAGTAGCAGGTAATTATAGTCCAGTGACTTACTGCACTAAAAATAAATTTTTTAATAGGAAGAGTAGATCTAATATCTCTGAAGTAATTTGAAATTTTTATTTTTAAAATTACTTTAATTTTTACTTATTTTTGAAAAATACATTATTCCAGTAAACTAAAATTAATTTGTGTCTTCCATTGGCGCGTAGATGACGTGCTTTCGTTATATCCACAGAATGACCGTGACGATGAAGGCGAAGCATTCTATTCTGTTGCCAGTTTAGCTCTGTCCTCGCTCCAATGGCGACCATCGCTATGACTCTTACGAAGATCAACCTCGTTCGAATTTCTCCTTCTCGATCCACTTCCTCCCGCTCTTCCTTCAATCCTACGCGTTGTTCGTCAATCCAGCAGGTCCAGGTACAAATGCATACAACTTCTATGCTCTCGAAGAATCTCCCGTAGCGAAACTACGTATTTGCTTCTATTTCTTACTTTTTTTTCGATTTCCTTGAAGGTTGATTCAACAATCGCTTGCGAACCTTGTAATGGCAAAGGATGGATAGTGTGTGATTTCTGTGAAGGGCAGAAGACAAATGTGAAGGCCGAGAACAATCGTGTCTACCGACGCTGTCCGTCTTGCCGCGCTGTAAGTGAACGTCTAGTTTATATCTCTATACGTATGTTGAATATGGATGCTTAACGCTATGCCGATGCAGTAACGCGAGGAATTTGTGCTGGATTGAATGGATGTATATTAGCTTTTCTGAAACTCTGATTTAAACGCGGACATCTGAGGCTTTTGGTCTTGAATTGCCTTTAATTTCACAATTGAATGAAAAACCTGGTAGACTTACAAGTGAAGCATGATTATAATATAATCACTGAAGTTCTTGAATCGATTTTGTTTTCTTGCCAATATTTCCTTTTCCTTTCGGATTCAGCCTTTGTTTCTCATGTTCTATTGTGCTCTCCTCCTGGCTCCTGCTTTTTCAGCTTTCAAGCTTGGTGTTATTCCTGATATTTGACACTCTAGTATTCTAGTCAGTCCCTTTAGGAATCAACCAATTGTACTGATAACTAGTTAAGATTACTGTTAATAGACACATTCTAGTAGATTTTGCTGATACGCAGTTTCTTAAAATGTCTATAGGAATGAAATTTACCAAATGTTAAGATCAGAAGAAGTGTGGTGAGCTTGGCCTTGAAAGTCTACCACTGATCTGCTAGAGTAATCGAGTTGGGTTATGACCACACAAAGTGGACTTAATGGTCAATCTAGGCATTGAGTTAGTTCACCTTATGAAACCATTATTCACCAGATAAGAAGTGGTAAACAACTAACGGAAGCCCACTATTCATTGGTTCTGTTCAACTAACAAACATGTAGTGCTGTGATATTTTAGCATTTTGTTCATCTATTCCCCGGGAACCAGTGTTCGGGCTCAATAACATTGATTGCGAAGATGCCCAACATGCCTGGGAAGCATATAGCTATATATATATATATATATATATATATGTCTATGTCTAACTTTTGTTTGCATATATACTCAACAACTGGCTTAAAAGCTTAATAAGGCACTTCAATTATGCAGGTTGGATATGTTCTATGTTCGAAGTGCAAGGTTTTCAAGTGTGTTACTTTCCCAAACTACAGCGACGGTGTAGATTTATCTTTTTGAACGTCAGGTATCTCTTGAATTATATGAAAGTATAGAGATCTTTGTTGAATACACATTCTATTGGAAACATCTGTTGATATGAAGAATACATTTTTTAGCTACTCTCTTCTTCCCTAGGTGCATTTTTGTCTATCTTAATTAGCATATAGGGTCAATTTGAGTATAATTTAGGAAGAGGTGGTGAAACAAAAATAGTTGAGGTAATACCAAATTTTAAAAAGCAAGTGAGTGGATTTTAGGTTAATAATGTAATGGCCCAAGTCCATGATTTTGTTCTCTTTCGGCTTTCCCTTTCGGGTTTCCCCTCAAGGTTTTTAAACTGTGTCTGCTAGGGAGAGGTTTTCACACCTTAAAAGAATGTTTTGTTTCCCTCTCCATGTGGGATCTTACGATTCACCCCTCTTTGAGGCCCAGCGTCATTGCTGACCCTCTTCGTTCGCCCATGGATGTGGGAGATCAGAATTTACCCCTTTCGGGGGCCAGCGTCCTCGCTGGCACTCATTCCATTCTCTAATCGAGGTGGAATCTCATAGATAGTGTCAAGAAAGCTTTAGCCTCTTACTCACCTCTTCAACATTTATTTTTCCATGTATAACCGAAGAACTGGAAAGATTCTTGAAGGGTCTCAGTCTCAAAATGCATGATAAATACAACAAAAAAAAAAGCTAGAATAACTAAAAAAGAAAGTGATTTTTTGTGACTAATGCTATCATCATTTACATATTTGTGGTTGTGAATGTTTGTTGAATCCACCACACCTATGAGAGTTCTCTTATGTTAAATTACAAAAACAAAATACAGAAATATGTTAAATTACAAATGATATAAAAATAGCAATAAAAGGAAAGAATAATAAATGAATACAATATATTTGCCTTTAATAAAAGGGCAAATATGGTAACATCAATAACATCTTTGGTGAGGAGCCCCTTTTTGTTTGATTTATTCTAGAAATGATATTGTTGTGCATTGATTATTAGACACTCAACCAGGTAACTTAACCATCAACAACAAGTATCCACTTTGATTGCAAACTTCTTCATTCCTTCACATTTGTTCGGAGTTCATCGATGTGAAGGGCAATGATATCAAGTAAGTTTTTCTACTAAGTTGTATATTGCTTTTCACCCTCAATATATATATATATATTCTTTTATATGAAAAAGAAAAAAACTGTGGTTCATGATAATCGTTAGGAAACAACGAATGCATGCAATGGATATTATTTTTCTATATTGGAAGTATGATTTATTAAAAATTAGAAATTATGAGTATGAGTTGTTTGATTAATTAATGAATTAATTGAGAGATTTATGATTTAACGTTTATTTCTTAATTAAATACCTTTACCATCTTATACTTAAATATAGTAAGTTCTAAAAATGATTAACTACTGGGCCTGAATATTGGGCCATTATCTAAATGGGCCACTCGTATAGGAAATTTGAGGAAGTATTGGGCCATTATCTAAATAGGCCTTTTAAATTCTCTGTTTGAGGAAATTTGGATAGGAATTCTTTAATAATACTTTTCCAAATAATTAAAAGATGGAATTATTGGAAAGATTTAAATTTGGAGAAATTATATTTTATGAAACTTACCATGATTATTTTTAACAATTATAAAAATTTTAAGTTATTAAAAAAAAACTCGTGAACTTTGCATTTTATTTAAAAAAATATTCCTTTTAATTAGTTTAATCTAAAAAAAATCTACTAGTATAAGTCTACTAAATCCATTTTAGATAAATTGACCCGGTTCATAATAAAGAATTAAACCGTATTAAATCACTATGTAATGAAACTAAATAAAACATATAGATAATTAATTAATTTATCATTAATAAATTAGAATAATAATTATAAAAATTCTTGTAGAATAATTCAAATTATATATAAAATTTTGATACCAATTAGGCAACCAATTATAAAAATTAGTATTAGAATTTCTTTATGAAGAAGGAAAAGGGACAAATATAAGCCACTCGAAAGTTATTAAATATACTAAAAAAGATTTTAAGGCCAAAGGAGGGAGGGGTAACTTGGTAATTTCAAGTGTAAAGTTAGGTTTGGCAAGAAACAAAAGAGAAAGCTACCTATAAAGCATTTTTTTTTTTAATTTTGAAAAATAATAAATGAATAAAAAGAAAAAGGGTTAAAGGTTATTTGAGAAAATTAAAATAATAAATAAAATAAATAAATAAAAGTGGGGGAAGAAGGGATTCGAGCATTTCTTTTTTACCCAATGCCTTCCCTCTTTTATTTCCTTTCTGGTCGCTCGGTGTCTGTCCTTTTCAAACGTCCCCTTTTTTTTTTTGCAACCTATGATGAACTTTGCCCTAATTCTTTGCATTTTTAGGGGTTTATTTTTGTGAAAATTTGTTGAAACATATTTTTTTTTATATTTTTTTCATGCTTGTATTGAAATTTAGGTGTTGATTTTGGAGTTGGGTATAGCGCATAAATGTTCATATTTTTAGTTGGCCCGACATACTAAAATAGGGGTGTTCATATGATCTGATAATCGGACAAACCTGAACAACTACACCATGGTTGGTTTGGTTAGTTTTTTTTTTTTTTTTTTTTTTTTCGGTTTGAATTGGGTAGTGTTTTTTGAACACCAAAATTTTGGGCTAGTTCACGGGTTTACATTTTTTTGCTCAGGTCAACCCGTCCAACCCAAAATTAGGACGGCAACCCACCCTACTTTTTAGATTATTAAGAACATTAAACATGATTACCTTTGTACCTAATGTTAGTGATTTGTTTTGAAATGTGAATATTTGATATTTGAGTTTTATAAAATTTTAGTTGTTAATATAAAATGTATTATAGATGAGTAGAATTTTTTTAAATAATTATTAAAAAAAACGCCCCAACTCAAACAATCATTTTGGTTGTTGGGGTCACCAATCAAAACAACTTATTTTGTGTTGTCCAAAAGATTTTCTCAATCCAATCTATCCCAAAATTGAGAGTAAAATTACCAAAATAAACCAAAAATAGAAATACCAAGACTAAAACAATATTAACTATATAAAATAAAAAATTAGAGTTAGATTTCGTGGAGAACGCCTTTACTTTTTGGCCTTATATCCTCAAAATCAACTAGGGCTACATAAAAATTCCCGGTCCTTCCCTACCCTTCTCGTATTATCCATCCTATATGAAAAGAAAAAAAAAAAGTATTATACTTATTAGATGCATTTCATCGAATTTTACAACTTTAAAGATAACAGAATCGATATCTTATCTAACATCGACTCGATTCTACGTATTAAAGATTCATAACCAAGTTGACCAGTCAAAAACCTACCCTACCACGTGTCAAATCACGTCAAAATAAGAATTACTCAAACTTTCGAAATAAATTCGAAAAAAACTTTATTCTTTTTCACCAGACAACTTATTGCTTTTATTCTTTTGCAAAGATGTGAAGACCTTTCTTTTCTTTCTTTACCGGAACGCATGCTTTATCTAATGTATCTATAATATAATATATATATATATACCAACTTTAAAGCATAAAGAGAATATTGTCAAATTAATTTCAATGATATATAATATATATTTTGTGAATAAAGTTTATCTCCTTATAGTATGGAAGAATATTCTTATATACTATAAAAAATAAAAAATAAAAAAAAATCATATATTTTAAATATACTAACTTTGAAAATTTATATAGTTCTTTTTCTTGAATATGGTTGTATTTCATCGGACCTATTGCATGCATATTGTGTTTGTTAGTGGCGATGTTTAAGGGGCTTGTGGTAATAATTACACGTTGTGTGTTTCGGGTAACTTGCCACTAATTGTAACCTTCGGTGATGATCGTAGAAAATAACTTAGAAGTTCTGTGTTTTGGGTAACCAGCCATCGATAGTCATTTCAAGAAAATAAGGAGGGATGTTGATTTCTTCGTGGTAATAGTTACATGTTGTGTGTTTCGAGTAACTAGTCAAAGATAATCATTTTAAGGAGTAAATGTGGCGTTGATTTTCTGACGTTGATTTTATTTTAAAGAGTGAAGGTGGCGTTGATTTTCTTGTGGCAATAGTTACCCGCTGCATGTTTGGGTGATTGATCACTAGGATCCCGGGTGACTATAGATTAAATTTAATTATTAAAAGGTAAAAATATTCAAAATAATATATTAATAAATGGAAGACTAAATTAATAATATTATCTATAAATTTTTAAAATTTTTAATAATACTCTAAACTTTCAAAAAAAAAAATCTAAAAAAATACGCTTATGGATTTGTTTATGAACTTTTAACCGTGTTTCAAAAAATTATTTTGAACCTGGAATTTTTCACGGTCCGTAATATATTTAAAAAATACTCATAAAAATTTAAAGATACCATTAATACTCTTTACCTTAGAAAATAAAAAAGTTTAAAAAATTCTTACTCGTACATTATCAACAAACATTATAATGTTATTTTGGAAAGTTGATGAGTATTTTTGAGACGTGATATTAATAATGAAAGTATTTTTTATTTTTAAAAAATAATTTAAAAGTATTTTTATTAAAAGACTTTAAAAGTTAATAAATTTTTTTAAAAGTTTAAATATTTTATGGAAAGTTCTGACATTTATTTTTAAGAAATTAATTACAAAATTACAGTGTGTTTTTATTAATTTAGAATAATTAAAACGAAGTGGTTAAGAAGTAACAGACCGTACGGAATGGTCAGCACGGGCAGGTGGGTTAAGTTGGGCAATTACCTTGAGGGGAAGGACAATCATTCTGTGCAAATTGGCAACTGGAGTAGATTATGGGATCATTGAAGTCAATCACAATTATGCGGTGGGCCCCCACTGGACAATACCGTATTATTCCGCCACGTGTCAGCTTCTTGATTCTCCTCCAGATTCCCCAACCATTCCAATCCAACGGCTCCCGGCTCACCACCCTATCTAACCCAATTGCTTCGCCTCTAAGTTCCCGGCTTTTGTCATCCACGTCATCTAAAAGTTAATGTCCCAAATTAACTTTTTTTTTAATTATAATAATATTTTAATTAGTTGTAACATGTCATGTCCATTATTATTATTTTATTCTATTCAATGAGTGCATGAGTGTTCGTCGACAAAATTAATATTACTTGTAACGTTGCTGCTTTCTTAAATCGATTTCCAAACGTTTTCTAAAATATTTTCGAATCCCATTTCAAAATAGAACTAGAGGTTTGAGTATACGTTGCTCGTGCCAGTAGTAACCATGCTTCGGTTGCTCGTGCCAGTAGTAACCATGCTTCGGTTGAATTGCATTACGAGTCCTAATAGAGTGCAATTCATGATACTGAGCTTAGTTGATGGAACAATGTAGGCAAGGAGAAGTGGACAAAATGAATCCATAACCTCGGGAAAAGAATTGGCTCTGAGGGATGGGCATGAGGGTCCCAGTCCCGAACACGTCGTCTGTTGGTGGACCACTGCTCCTGAGATGAGAGCGGGTCGCTACATACCAACCCGGGGATGGACTAGGAATGACTCCTTCAAAAATCTTTCTCGAGCGTCGAACAGTCAAAACTTTATGTTTGGGGGTATTCGTAATTATAAACTTTGTGGAAGGGCAATTTGGTCAAGAGGCCACGTCAGACATTTTAACCTCATGTGCCGTCCACTTTCGCTTCGCAGTCCCACGCCACCTCTCTGAAAACAACGTACCTTTGCTTCCTTCCTTCCTTCCTTCCATTTCCTCGCCCAAACCATTCACTCTACAAACCCCTATATATCACTCCCCCACTCCCTCTCTTTCTCTCCCTTTTCCCTCTCTTCCTCTCTCTCCGCCGAATGAAGCAGAAATCCACCATCTCCTCCGCCCTCCACCGCCGCCTATTTCCTATCACCCTCCCACGAAATAATCATGAAGCGTAGCGCCTCCGAGTTGGCCCTCGAAGAGTTCCTCAAAAAGGCCGCCGTCATCTCTCCCGACGCCGACGACGACGTTTTCAATCTCGAACGCGAGGAAGGAGTCATCAGAAGCCCTAAAAGAGGCAAAAACTTCGTGGACTCCGCCGATTCCGCCTGCTTCTTCGGCGATATTGATTTCAGTTATTTCCTCGCCAAAAATAATCGGGTCCGTTCAAATAAAATTATTCTTATTTTATTATTTATTTATTTATTTTAATGGAAATTGGTACGCTGCATTCAAATATTTTATTTAATTTCTCGATTTTAAATATTCACGTAAGCCTTTTGTTAAATGCATGAAAGTCGAATATTTAAAAATATATTTTTTTTTTTTTCTGTCCATGCAGTTTTTTTTAATATATATTTAATTAGTAATTATTAAAAAAAAATTTGAAAGTTGCAGGAGATAATGGACGCCATTGTTAACCGTGGAGCTGGGCTGACGGAGGCTGCCATAGATTCCCAGTCTTCTATTGGTACGACCATTATTTACTTTTTTTTTTATTATTGTTATTATTTTAAATTACATATATTTATTTAAATATTACACATTTTATTTATTTATTTATTTATTATTTGTAAGGAGAGCGTGCATTTTAATATATTGAAATTGAAAATGTACATTTAAATATCTATATATATTAGAAAAATAAATTTGTCTCAACTGAAAAAGAAAAAAAAAATCATAATTTATTTTTCAATTATTATTATCAAATTAGTTAGAACTAAGAACCTAATTTTAATTTTATGATATTTTTTTATTTTTTTATTTTTAGAGTAATTAAATTTTTTTTAATGATTATAGATTGATTTGGGTTTGTGTGGAATTATAATATCTTATATCTATAACGAATAATTATTATAAATGGTGGATAAATAAATCTTTTAAAAAAAATTAAATTTTTTTAACAACCGACTCAAAAAATTGAGTCGGGTTGGGTGTGAAAATTGAGTTATTAGTTCAACTAACCCGAACTAAATTTTTTTAACAACCGACTCAAAAAATTGAGTCGGATTGGGTGTGAAAATTGAGTTATTAGTTCAACTAACCCGAACTTTTGGGTTGGTCCAAAAAAATAGTTGAGCTCAACCCAACTCAATTCGGATCAAATTTAACATATATTGAAAGTATAAGGACTAAAATGAAATATGTTCGAGATGGTCAGTGAGCAGCCCGACATCTGGTAGTAATTTGATGGGCAGAGAGCGCGGGAGAGGCAACAATAGCGGGTCCTCGGAAGATCAGTCAGACGATGAAATTGAAGCTGGCTCTTATGAACAAAGCACTGACCCTCTTGCTTCCAAGAAAATCAGAAGGTCACTTTTTTTTTCTCCTTTTTATGCTTCCATTTCATTATCATTCCTCTGATGTCGGTTTGCGCTTGCAGAATGATCTCGAACAGGGAATCCGCTAGAAGATCGAGACGAAGGAAACAAGCTCATTTGAGTGAACTCGAGAGCCAGGTATATCGATTATAATGTCTCGACTTATAAATGAAGACAATTATATCTCTATACTTCGACCGCATCGGTTCGTGCCTAGAACCAATGTCGTGAAAATGGTCGCTGTTTTCTAGGTGAAACAGCTGAAAGGAGAAAATGAAACGTTGTTCAACCAGCTTTTAGATGCTAGTCAGCAATACCGTGATGCCAATACTAATAACCGGGTGCTTAAATCAGACGTAGACGCGTTGAGAGCTAAGGTATACCGTAGAATTCTCGTCACACTCGTTTAGTAACTTTCTAAACGTTAAGATGATTTTGTTTTATGTTTGATTAGGTGAAGTTGGCTGAAGATACACTTGCTAGAGGATCAATGACTAGCAGCTTGAATCAGCTGCTGCAGAGTCATTTGAGCACGCCGCAGCCTCTAACGGCGCTCCATCGAATGTCGAATGTTGCATCGCCGCCGCTCGATCTAACCGGAGATGAAGTTTCGTATTCCGGCGTGATGATGTCGGGTCAGAACCCGATCGTTGGGATCCCGAACTGTGATATGCATATCAAAACTGGAATGGCTAGTGAGGCTGTTAGCTGTGTTTCTGGGATTTGGCCTAGAAATTAAGCCTTTGTGTTTGGGTTGTATGATAGACTCTTAAACTTCCTCCACTACCCTCCCCCCTCTGTTCATTGCTTTGGGTTAGTTTGAATTGCCATTTTACTCTGTTTTTGTTTATCCATGTCTTGTTGAAACCTGACCCAAAAATTAGCTTCTTTTAAACGCGTTTGTTACGGAGAGATTTTCACACTCTTATAAAGAATGTTTCGTTCTCTTCTCCAACCAATGTGGGATCTCACTATATTCACTCCTCTTCGGGGCTTAGCGTCATCGTCGGCACTCGTTTTCTTCCCCAATCGTTGTTGGATCCCCAAATTCACCTCCCTTCGAGGCCCAATATCCTTGCTGGCACACCGTCTTATGTCCACCCCCTTCGAGATTCAGCCTCCTCGCTGACATATCGTCAGTTGTTTAGCTCTGATATCATTTGTAACAGCTCTAGCTTACCGCTAGCGGATATTGTTCTCTTTGGGTTTTCCATTTTGGGCTTCTCCTTAAGGTTTTTAAAACGCGTTCGTTAGGGAGAGGTTTCCACACCCTTGTAAAGAATACTTCGTTCTCCTCTTCATATCCCTCCTCGGAGAGCAACATTTTTGTTGGCACTCGTTTCCTTTTCCAATCGTTGTGGGATCCCCCAATCCACCCTCTTGTCCACCCCTCGTGTCCACCCTCTTCGGGACTCAGCCTTTTCACTAGCAGATCATCTAGTGTCTAGCTTTGATACCATTTGTAACAGTCCAAGTTCACCACTAGTAGATATTGCCTTCTTTGGACTTTTGAACTGTATCGGCCACGTAGAGGTTTCCAGACTCCTCTAAAGAATTATTCGTTCTCCTCCCTGACCCATGCAATACCCAAAATTAAGGGCATTTAACGCCCATCATTTATTCAAACTCCTAAAGTCAACTTTACCATCCAATAGTAGTAGTAGATATTATTTGCTTTAAACTGTTACATGTCGCCATTAGCTTCACGATTTTAAAACGCGTATGTTAAGAAGAAGTTCGTTATTCTCTTCAACCAATGTGGGATCTCACAATCCACCCCTTAGAGGCTCGGCCTTCTTGCTAGCACAATACTCGGTATCTAGCTCTGATACCATTTGTAACAACTCAAGCCCACTCCTAGTAGATATTGTCCGCTCTTGTATGTTGCGTATTGTCATCAATCTCACAGTTTTAAAACGCATCTATTAGGAATGAGTTTATATTTTAATGAATGAGTTTTCGGGCAAATTGGTGAAAATTGAATTTAGGGTAATAATTAATATTTATTTAAAATTTAAAGGGCTAAAATTGTTTTTTTTTTCTTTATATATTATGACCCATTATAGTAGTAAATATAAAAATAGAATTATTGTTTTTTATTATTGAGACTGGATGTGGGTTCTAATTTTAAGCCCAAAAGGCCCAGTTGCGCCGTAATTGGGCCTTGGCCCACATTTAGCCGTCCTCTCCTATCTCGGACTCTGTTTGAGCACAAGGACGCAGATTTCGCTAAGAACCGCAATTTTTGGAGGTGGCGAACGCCCATTACTCCGGCAGGCTTCAGCATTTAGCGGTACCTTTCGGTAAAATCTTCTGGTATTTCTAGTTTGTTCTTCATTTCAAGTTTTCAATACTTTCCCGCCTTTGGAATTTTGCTTTCTTGCCGTTAATGCGTAGCTACTAGAGAGGGTCATGATCCTTGGGCTGAGCTTGTTAATTGGTAATGTTCATATGTTTTCTGATTTGAGTGTTGTTGTTTTCAACTCGTTCCTGATTTTGTGTTGTCTGAGACATTCTTTGTTTATTGACATGCAAACTAGGTGTTCGATATAATGCCGCTTTGAATTGTTTTGCTTTTTGTTTCTTTTTACAATTTGTCTTCGGCTTTCTTTCCAGATTCTAACACTTGACTTGCTTTCTATCAAGCATTTTCTTGTGGGATTTTTCAAATCCTTGTCCATATTCATTGCTCTACAAGATGCAAATTTCTTGCAATTGGATAATCTTCTTCTGCTAATAGTTATTTTATGGGAAAAATTATGTTTGGAGTTTGTTTCATTGCAATGTCCTGCGTTATGTGAGACTAGATGATTCTCCTTTGCAAAGTGTCAAAGAACTAGAAACTAGGATCTTAAAGCTGTTGAGAACTTTCTTATGTTATTATCTCCAATCTCCAAAGGGAATAAACATCATATTTTTTTAAACTATTTTTGTTTAAAATTGATTTTCAGTAGTCTATATTTTGGTCTTATTGCATCTCAACCTGAAAAGGCTTATGAAATAAAGGTTTTTATATGCCTCACCTGAATAAGAATTTTGATTCTTCACTCAATGTTGGAGTGAACCTGAGCCACCTTCTACGTGAGATCCTACATCGGTTGGGGAAGAGAACTAAGAAACGGATTTTAAAACCTTGAAGGGAAGCCCGAAAGAGAAAGCCCAAAGAGGACAATATTTGCTAGCGGTGGGTTTGAACCGTTACAAATGATATCAGAGCCAAACACCGGGCGATGTGCCAGCGAGAAGGCCAAGTCCTGAAGGGATGGACACGCGGCGGTGTGCCAGCAAGGATGCTGGGCTTCGAAGGGGAGGTGGATTGGGGAGTACCACATCAATTGGAGAAGGGAACGAGTGCTAGTGAGGACGCTAGGCCCCGGGGACTGGATTGTAAGATCCTACATCGGTTGGGGAGGAGAACGAAACATTCTTTATAAATGTATGGAAACCTCTCCTTAGCAGCCACGTTTTAAAAACCTGAAAGAAAGCCCGATCTCTTACATACCTTTGGTGGGATGTGATGAAGACCCACCCAAGTTTTCTTTTGTTATTATTTGAATTCCACTCAATCGCTATATTTATGTTAAAAGCAAGCTGCATTTTCATTTTTACTTGTATTTCTCATGCGTTGCTCAGATCTTACCAGGAATCTTTTCATTGGTTTGATTGAAATTTGTTTTTTCTCCCAATCCCTACAAGAATTGCTCAAAAGATTCTCGTGGGGCGTAATCCTTTCTTGAATACTCTTGTAACTGAAGGGTCGAACTATTACTCGTGCAATCAAATGTTTTCTACTTCTGCACTCTTTAGATTTCTTTTCATGAACTGTTCATGCTCTTGCTGATATTACCTTTACAAGTTTATTGAATTCAAACTTTTTTTCCATCACAAGTCCCTCTTAGTAGGTCGTATTTCCCTATGAACATATCTTTCCTCTGTTCTTGCAGCATTAAACATGTTGGACAACGATGCTAATCCAACTTTCAGCAAGTCAACTGGCCTGCCACGAAAGCGCTTCTACCGTGCAAGAGCACACAGCAACCCTCTAAGTGACTCTCACTTCCCAGTACCAATCTCCCCCAATGAAATTGATTATTCCCTTCATTACCCTCAACTGTTCCCTTCAAATGACCAGCGAGATAGAACCAAAAAGATTGAATTTGCTGATATTGGTTGCGGTTTTGGTGGTCTTCTGATTAGTCTTTCAACCCTTTTCCCGGAAGCCCTGATGATTGGAATGGAACTCCGGGATAAAGTATCAGAGTACGTAAAGGAACGGATCTTAGCTTTGAGAGTAGCAAATCCTGGCCAATACCAAAACATTTCAGTAGTTCGAACAAATTCCATGAAGTACATTCCAAACTACTTCGAAAAAGCACAACTTTCAAAGATGTTTTTCTTGTTCCCGGACCCTCATTTCAAAGAGAAGAATCACCGCCGGCGTGTAATCAGTCCATTTTTGCTTGATGAGTACGCATATGCGCTGAGAGTTGGTGGGATTATATACACAATTACAGATGTGGAAGAGCTTGGAGAGTGGATGAAGACTTGTTTAGAGAATCACCCTTTGTTTGAAGCTTTAACATTGGAAGAGCTCGAGGCAGATCCAGCCGTGGAGCTTCTAAGTTCTGCAACGGAGGAAGGACAAAAGGTTGCAAGAAATGAGGGACGGACCTTTCAGGCAGTGTATAGGCGCGTTGCTGCAGCACCATGACTTGGAAGGATTGAGCCTTCTTCTGCGTTCATTTGATTGTAAGTTATGAGTTGTTTCCTTGAGCTGTTTGCATTCTTCCTAGACTTTCTTGGTGTTCTATTTTCTGTTCTTATGACAGATGCATCTTACAAATTTGATTTGATTTACTCTCGGAATCTCTCCACGAACTTGGGATTCTAAATCAGTTAATATTAGAGATGTTTATTTAACCCACATGCAGAAAATGGGAGAAGAAGTAGTGAGAGATTTATCTCAATTAGTTAAAACAGATAAATTAGTTAAACAAGGTTAGGGACGGAGATTATATTCCTTATTCCCGCCTCACTTCGCTTCTAATTGTGGAAGACTATAGTATGATATTGAAACGTGAGGATAACCTTTAATTATTCCATGCAATTTTTAAAGAATTTTTACATGCTATTAATCATTAAAAATTCTTAATTATGACTTATTCAACTTCAACCATGGCGTGATGTAGCCCGACACAACACTTTATGTGGTGTCCCACGTTGATTGGGAGGAGAACAAAACATCATTTATAAAGGTGTGGAAACCTTCTCCTATCAGACGCGTTTTAAAGCCTTGAGGGGAAGCCCGAAAGGGAAAGTCCAAAAATGACAATATCTACTAGCAATGAATCTGGATCGTTAGATTTCAAATCATAGGCCCACCTCGAGGGAAACCTGAAAGGGAAAGCCCACAGAGGACAGCGGGCGGTGTGAATTTGGATGGTTAGACTTCAAATCACAGGCCCATTAACCAATTCCGATCTGGCCCAACACGTCTCGAAAGGCTCAATAACCAATTCGAGTCGAATCGGCCCAAATATTCTTGGAGGCCCCGACCCGACCCGGCCTTCTCGAACGATCCGTGGAGGAGTCAGGACTCAGCAGGACCAGGAGATTGTTCTTCATTTTACCGTTATCACGTGATTCACACGTGGTCAACTCCATCAATTTAACGCCTGCAAATCGAATGAAAACAAAGGTACTTGTGGAAATGGAATGGGATAATCTTGGAATCGTCCAGAACTGAACAAATACCGACCCGATTCCGACGGTGTTTTGAAGGTGACTACTCATGGCGGCGAACGCGAGAGAATCTCGGCGGCGGCGGATCCTGGAGCGAGGTTCCGAACGTTTAGCCCTAATAACCGGTCAGATCCAATCGCTCCCTTCTCCCTCCATATCTCCGCCGCCGAACGATGAAAATATCAATTCATTACCCCAGCCGTCGATCTCGAATCTTCAGGATCTCCGGCCTCGTATTTCTGATCAACCTACCGGTATTCCTCGTATTTCCTTGTTGCTTTCTGGAATTATGTGAAAATGTTTTTCTCCTGCGTTTTTTTCTGCGTTTATACGAGTGGTGATGGAACGAGAAGCTAATTGAGAGCTTGGTTATTAGGATTCATACAATTCGTTCCTAGTGATTTGCATTCACTTGATAACTATGCCCTATGTCTCATCATCAATGAAAAGATACGTCGTTTAATTTTCTAAAAAAATAATAACAGTGAATTGCACAGAGTCTACTTGGATCTTCGAAGTTCTAGGCATGTCTATTGAATTTGAATGTCAATAATCAAGCAAATATTTGTGTTGACGGCTCGTTGCAAGCATGTCTATTGAATTTGAATGTCAGTAGACCTTGTGCTGTGATATTGTGACCTTAACAAAAGGTTGTAAAGGGATAAATTATATCTAAATAATGTAGCATTGGAATTGAAATAGCTTGGATTGCTATTTGGCATCACGTATTTTTTAAAAAGAACTACATTGAAATTGAGTTCTTTCCCATGGGATGTTGGGAGCTAGAGAAGTTTTCACAATCATTGTAGAGTTATTCTCTGCCCTTGTTAGCCTTCTCACGATCTTTTCTTGCAATATCGCCTGTTTAGCATGAGAAATTGCATTGTTGAACATAGTTCTCCTGCACCTTGCAATATATTTCTGCAGTTCCTTTTGTTTTATGTTATTGAACTGTACACTAGAATTGTTGTTCTGCTCACACTTCATGCTTCGCTCGCAGTTTCTCGTGATATCGACAAGCTGATTGGTTCTACATTGCAACAAAAGGATCCTCAGATTAGTGCTAGATCTTCTGTAAATGATGGAGCCAGTATGGCACCTCTCTTGAGCAAATCTAATGAAATAGAACATGCAGTAGCTTCTACTCCTCAAGATGGTGGAAGAGCACCGTCCCATGTCACCCCGTCTGAAGGTCGAGATTCATCTCTTTCTACATATGGCAGAGATCGACGCTCCAAACCAAAATTCCAACCCCTCAGTTCTTTCTCTCTGAAGGAATTAAGTTCGGCGATTTCTGAATCTGAAATGACCCGCCTTTGTTTTTCGGCTATTATAGCCTTTCTTGTAGTTGCTTCATATGTAGGATTTCCTTTCTTAGGCCAGAGTCTTATGAGAATTGTTTTTGGATCTAGACCAGTCTATCTCGTCTTGCTCACAAATGCAACAGTTGTACTTGGGAGACTTCTTTTCGCCAAACAGAAGGGTTCTAGAGTATCTGATAGGGGAGAGGGTCAAGTACCTCCACCTGAAGGACAAGGCTCATTTGAACAAATTGGTAACGTTTTAGAGGCAGGTCTAGTGGCTCAGAAGGCAATGGGTGCAATTTTCATGGACATTAGTGTGTTTGCAGTTATCGTTGTATCGGGACTTTCGTTTGTGCAGCGTCTGTAGATTCAGGCTGTGTCGATGGTTTGCAGTTTCGTTTTGTGTCTGTTCTTTTCTCTCTGTTCTGCACCTAGTCTAAAAATTTTGTACTGTGCACTTGTCTCGTGTCAATGATACTCGTTCGATGTTGGTTTGTTAGCCATTTTGCAGTAAACCGAAAAGCCATTTTGTAATCCGATCGTTCCAGTTACCCTAAATTTACGACCCTACTTGTGTTTACTGTTGAATAGAATGATGAGGATTAATAGGACCTTACCTTATACAACTTGATTTTGATGCAGTGTAAGCAATCCAAGTATTTGAATTATACCTTACCTTACATGAAAACTTTCTTGTACTAAGATATTAGATTATGAACATGATCTTATCATTGAATTGATTTAAAGCAGGTTTAGAATGACTTTTAAAAGGCTCAAGAATTTGAACTTAAAGAAATCATTCTTAAGCACTTAATACACGAATATTAAGTGCACCTACAAGATTAGCATTACTTAACTTAGAGAATGATGGTGTATGAAGTTCAAATCTCCATCTTTCACTTGTGAAAAGGGAAAAATTAAAAAGAAAAAAGAAATCCCTAGCCTGACAATTTGTAGAGAATATTGACATGCTTTTCATTAATAATCATACTTCTACAAATACAAGTAAAAATCATTGTCTGCATAGCATTCTTAATCATCTCTCTTTCTTTCCTCTGAAATAAAAAAGCCAGCATTTTGCAGACAGACTTGTATTGCAACTGTAACTAAGCATGGAATCGTACCTTCTCATGCTATACTCTTAAAGAAAGAATGGTTAAGGGCTTGTCGAGCTGTTGGGCGTTCCGAAGGGTCGTATTTCAATAGATCATACAACAGATCAGTCAATAGCCTGGAGAAACCCACATGTTGTGAAACCATATCCTGAAAACAAAGAGAACAATTTGATATGAGCTTACGATCATCTTCTATAAAACCACAGAAGCATACTAATTAACAGACCTTCAAACGATCGAGTTTCTTCACGGCTCGAATGCTTTCTCTTGAAACTGCTCCTTCGGGCCAGTTTAGATGCAAACCTCGTTTGAAATATTTTTCTGCGTTTTGGCTACATGAAACGGATCGAAAATTAGTCCATTTGTTACTCTACAAGGGAAATAAATGAAGAGAAATCGGGATGTTTCAGTACTCAGCACTCTGAATCATGTGCCCTGGTATAGGTCCCAACACCCTCTCCATCATTGCCAAATGCTCCAAGTTCTCGTGAGTTTGAAACAGTGCTTTGCCCTACAGGCTTCCAGTAATTAACAACTTTTTATATAAACTTCAACCTAATCAAACCTAAGTCAGGTTCAACAAATACTAACCGAACACAGTTCGACAAGAATGCAACCGATACTCCACAAATCGCATGGATAACTCCATCCAAGACCTGCATAACATTCATCAATGCAGGTGAGACTACAGCATGTATATAATGTAAGGCATTTGTGACGCAATATCTAACATTGTCAACATGTCCTTGCTGAGATTCTTGGTGCAATAATCAAATATCATATAATAGTATCCTGGGATATGCAATGAATTATATTACATTCATGTCCATCTGATGATAAATTTTCAGGCAGGGGCCCATGAGTAGGAAATGTGTAACTCAGGGCCAAGCAGCAAAAACGGATGCTGAAGAGACAACCATGAATGTCACTCTAACCCCAAAACAATTTTGACACCCAAATGTTAAAAAATTGGAGCCTCCATCATAGAATAAACACCTTCCACTCACGCTCCCAATGAGATTTAGAAACTAATGAAAAGCTTAAAACATTTCTACACTGCTGCATACATATGTATGAACAGTTGGACGACAAGAGCCACGAACTACCTTCAATGACAAGAGTTATTGCCTTATGGGTAAAAGTGACCAGACAGATATACAATATTTTAGCAAGAAAGAAGCAAAAAACGTAAATATATCACATTTTTAAAGGTGTTTCGACAGATTCCGTCTTCTGCCCTAATGCTACCACTGGGGTTCATCTTTCCCCTTCCTCCAGATACTATTTAATTCTATGCAACAACATAAATAAAATGAAATTTTGGGAAAAGTTTCAACACAGAAGGTTTCTCAATTAGGAATCAGAGAAGGAAAGGGGAGAAAACTATACACAAACACAAATTTCACTAGCCAACCACATAACTAGTTACCTAGAATAACCTCAGGGGCTCTGTAATGCCTCGTAGAAACAATGGAGCTATGATTCTCATTATCAAATGCAGTACTACCAAAATCAATCAGCTTAATTGCACTAGACTTGGGCAAGCACCTGAATTGCGTTTCATCCGACGAAACCCTCTGTATCATTTCAAGCATCGTTTTTAAGATACATTTGAGTTTTCACCCAAATTTTCAGATTCGAAATATTTAAATACCTTACAACCAGGAAGCTTTATATATTCAGAAGACACAAGAAGTATATTTTCTGGCTTCAGGTCTGTGTGGATTAAGTGTAAATCATGCATATCTGCCAGATATGATGAAGCAAAGTAAACAAGTTAAACATGGTATGATTAGACATTTTCCACCCCTGAACAGAGGAAATAACAATGAAAATGGTTTCTGAGTTCTTTAGGGAAAAAGAGATAAATGAAAATCAGAATGCTGAGGTTGAAAATAAATCCACACACATGCTACAGATTCCAAAAGCTGTCGTCCAAACTCCCGAACAAGATCCACAGGGAATGGGTGGTATTTATTTCTCTTTAGAAAATCAAATAAGCTTGGTCCAAGCCTCTCAAATACCTGATCAAACCATTCAAATGCATTCAAAGGAAGGCTTTTGTTAATTTTCCAATTCTATGAATAAGTCCACATGTACGAAAGAACTCATGTATATGTGAACAATGCATGTACACAATAATTGATAAGGTTTACCCAATAGCAAAAGAAAAACCGCCACTATTATGATAACTGAAAGAGATTAACTTCAGTTACCAGAAAATACAACATCAAAGGGATCGCAATAACATCTTAAATATCAAGAAAGGGAGAGAAAAGAGATAAATCAATGGGCTTTAATTGAAATACTTACTATACATATGTGATTGCGGTAGTCAAACCAATTTCTAATCTGCACACAACTGCATGAGAAATATGTTGCAAACCAGAGTTAGATTGTGTTATCTGATGAATTGAAGACTATAAAACAAGGAAATAGATACACACCGTAAGCAGCCTGTGTCATTCTGAGCAAGATGCTTAAGTATATCCACCTCAACCATGGCTGCATCACGGTACTTTCTTATGCTCCGAACTACCTTAATGGCTACATATTCTCGAGTTTGCCGGTCCCAGCATTCCAAAACTCGACCAAATGTGCCTACAGCACTAGAAATTTGCTCAGTGGACTCCAGCAGAATGACAAAAACATAAAATCTTGCAGACAGCAGGGAACATGACAGCTAACCTTCACCCATCTTGCTGAGGATTTTATCTGCAAGACGTTCATGTTACCGATTACCCCAGTAAGATTCAAGAATAACAAATCAAAAGACCAAAACAATTAAGATAATGACCAATCGAAAACCTAATTGCTATTTAAGATATGGATAACTTGAGTAAATAACAAAAACGAAAGAGGACATAAGACAATATAATATATATATATGGTTTTGGGTATTTAAAACAAATAAGGGATGTTCATTCCGCAGCTGCGGGGAAACCTTAAAATATTAATGTGATTTCTTTCCCTGATAAAAGGTAATTTCATTGATAATATGAAATTCACAAGTAGAGTCTCCAGCTCAACCTTTGCAGGAAGTTACAAAAGGGTCTATACTACAAAAGAATTAATGATATAGTCAAAGAATGGCATTGCAGCTTACACCAGGTGGCAACAACCAAAAAAATCTCACAGAAAGTTCCAAGAATTCTTTCTTTCCCTAATGTGTTTTCTTTCTTTCAAGCAAACAACATAAGATGATGGTTCTCGTGATGTGTGCCTCAAAATACTGCCTTACTTTTATTAAGAATTTACCGTAAATCCCTCGTCTGATAAAGGAAAAAACCCCAACATTGCAGACTCGATTTCACACACTCCATACCAGACTATCATAGTATATTCAGCATCCAATTTAAAAGGCAAACCGACAATAACAATAAAAAAGCACTCACATCTCGGAGTGAGATTCTCGCCGAGGTTGAAGACATAGTGTCCTTCACGATCATCGTCTCTTCTCGGGGGCGAGGCATGCCTTTTGACCTCATCCTTAACCACCGCCAAAGCCTTATTAGCCTACACAGGAAAAAGACGCACCCAGCAACCTTCATGATTCGAAATAAAAGCCCTAATTGCCGTGACCTTCGGAATTCAACGTCGTCATCGCTGAAAATCCAATCCCAAAGCCAACGAACTAACCTCTTGTTCGGATGGCACCACATCCCATGCGGAACGAGGCCTTTTCCTGGTGGTCCGCTGTTGTTCTTTCTCCATTCTCTCAGCTTCCATGGCTGACGTTCATTAATCAACACACACACACACACACACAGACTCTCTAAACTCTATCCCAATACTGATTACGAATGTACAAATAAATAATCAACAGATAAATCCCTGAGAATCACCAGAAAATTAGGGTTTCGGCAACTTGGTTCTACAAAATACAAAGATTCAGCAGCTCGCCGACCACCACAGATAATAATCGTAATAGGCGAGAGGTTTTGAACAGGAAAGACGAGGCTGTTACTTCACGCTCGTGAATATCGTACATTCGATATATATATATATATAACGATTTGTTTTTTACCCTCCGAAATTCTTGTCCAAATATTAGAAGGAATTGGAAAACAATTTTGCTCAAAATTAGGATTCTTTTCCTCAATATTTTATTTATTTCGTCATAAATTACACTATTTAATCTTTTAATTTTTAATTTACATTAGCAAATGTTGCAACCCTACCCGTGACTGACGTAAGGATGAAAGTCGGCTTTGGTGATTCATGATGTCGGGTGAAATTGTCGTCGTTCAACTTATAAAAGTTACTGTAGTAATAACAGACTGATCTTCCCTATAATTATTTTAAAACATTGATACGTATAGATATGTCTATTTACCCCACGAGATACACTCCGAACGAGTTGAGGAATTTTCGTTTAAACTGGAAATGTGAGATGAAGTGGGGGGAGGTAAGCGGGGTCGAAGACAAAGATTGTATTTTTCATCTATTTATTTATATTTATTTT